CCGCTCTTCGATAAAGGTCCAACCGTGTCTACACGCCAAAGTATTAATTCGCTGCAAAACCCCTACAATCACAAATGAAATTACCACTTGTAGTTGACAGTTGAAATGTTAATAACATTAAACAAGGAAACAATACATCATTATTTATTTATACTTATACTCACAGTAGGCGAGATATCTTTTAGGATTGTTTTATTAAAATCTAATTTATTACTGAGGTTTTCATTTGAATCAGCGTTCTGGAATTGTGATCCGGATTCCGGTATATTGTGATGAGATGTTGTCACCAATAAAGGTAGTACTGGATGACAAGTAATATCATTTACACGAAATCGGTGTCCTGAAGCTCTCGACGCATGCCCAATACTTAATACCTATTGTTCAAAAATAGCTGCATAAAATAATGAAAAAAATAAAGAAAAGAAAAGAAAAAACGATTTGGCAGAATGAAATAATGGAAATTTGTATACATCATTCAGTCGTACTTGTGAAAATTTCGTTTTATCAGCAAATGTTAATTGCCATAAATTTAAAGTTCCATTTGAATGTTTTGACACCATAGACACAATTGGACTTGGATGGGTCAACAAATCATTTACTGTTTCTTGATTTGTTTTTCCATTTTCCAAGTGACTGTTCCTTTCTTTTGCAACATTTTGATTTGGATCGGTTGAATTCTCAATATTTTTTAGCAGTTCCTGGCCAGTTTTCGATGTTAATGTCGACTGTTCTTCATCTTGTTCAATCAAACTCGTGTACATTTACCTTCGTTTGATGGTTTTGTGGATGATTTTGCTACTTCTCGAATATTTAATAACGGACCACCGGTATTATGTGAATACATCGATACACTATGACTCATTGTGGAAGCATCACCAAGTGGAAATGCATTAGGTATACGAGTAGAAAATGATATTTGTGCTTGTCGAAATGATCCTGGATGATATTCATCCAGCCATTCAATATGCCAAATTAAAAAGCTTCCATCGATCGGGTGGATTGAGAAAAGTAAATCTGGATTGTGATGCCAATCACGTAATAATGTCTCTATTTTGGTATCCAAAGAATCTGGAGCATGATTTATTGAGGACGTTACATCAGTTGCAATAGAATTAATGGATGTAGTATTACTGTAGAAAGAAAAAAAAGACGAATTTGAAGTATTGGGACCTCACTATATACATGTAATAGAGGAAACATCATTTGTTATCACTCAGAAATATTATACCTAAGACTCTGGTGAGAATGTGCACTGTATGGTAAACTATGATGTGATGAAATTGTGTGAGCTGTGTGATGTTCATCGCTGCTATGATCTTCTTGACTCATTGATCGAATTGTACCTCCCACTTTTTGTATGGGTTGTAATCGTACTCCTTTTTCTATGATTGAATGTAATTAATCGAATTACTTTTCAACAATATAATTAAATATTTATTAAGTACAGGAAACATACTCGATAAACCTTCTTCCTCAGAATCATGATCTGCATGGTCTACATCCTGTTGATGCAGTCCCTCTTCCTTTTCTACCACTTTACGTGTAAGTTCTTGTAAAATACTTTCTGCTTGCATTGTAAAATGCATTTCCTTATTGTTCAACCAGTGTAGAATAAAATTTGGTTCCCTTTCAGGATCTCCTGTGATTAAGCTTGGTACTAATGGTATATCTGTGACACAAAAAATATAATTAAGAAGTATGCTTAACTGTGTCTATATGCATGTATACTTAATATTTCTTTATTATAATTAACACATGTATTAACTTAATTATCGTACCAGTTTCTGCATTAATACTGGCTGCCAAATGGAAATGCATTCCTGGATAATGACCTGTTCCTTGATAATTATTATGAAAATCATGAACTGAATATGTTGAAGGTAAAGTTGGTAATGTTGGTGCTGTAGTATGGCCTGCTTGATGTTGCTGTTTTGCATGTCGACGAATATGGAAACAGGTTCTACAAAAAGTGCATATACCATTTTATGAATAGAATATAAATATATAAATATCGAATTTTGTTATTTTACACACTTCATGTGTTTGAGCCGTTGCATAAATCGATGTTTGTGCATGTTATGATGTCGATGTTTCCCATGATGTCCATGTCTGTCAGAACCTTCAAATTGACTCATATTTGCTAAACCTTCAACTTCTGGTGGTATTGTTTCTGCCCAGACTCGACAAATGTTGTCTCTACAAGACGTGACCAGCATATTGGAAACAGATCCCCTAAGAAGAAAAAGAAAAAGATTTCATCAATTTAAGCACAGCAATTCAAATAATGACTTATAATATATTCTTTTGCATACTTTGGCATGTATTTACTAGTCTTACGCCAAGATAAATGTGTTACTGCACGAGGATGAGCAACATAAACAAAACTATAACTGTCACTACCCATAGATTGTGTGACATTTGTATGATCCATACTTCTTGTTGAAAACACTAAATAATTTTAAATATAAGTATGTTAAAATTCTCACGAATTCTCATTTATGGAAATGTCTTATTTCCATTACACATAAAAGAATCTTACATTGCTTATTCTCAAACCATATTTTCACTAATCTATCATTGAATCCTGTTGTCGCAAATAATGTACCATCTGGACTGAAACTCATGAGATGTACAGGTGTAGCTGTGCGACATTTCCAGACACAGTTCCATGCCCCTGGTTCATTTCCACTACTTAAATCACCAGGTGCTGGACTTTCAGCATCTCCACCAATTGAAAAAGTAACTGTTCCAGCTGAAAAAGAATTAATTGTACTTAGTCATATATATTTATTTAATTTTGATAAATACAGCTGAATATAAGTAAAATTTCATTGCAATCATTCTTCTAACTAAATGTCCTTTGCAAATAATGAAATATTATCTATAGATCTTTCCTATATTATTAATGTAGCAAAGAGTCAAGGAGCAAAAGCATGAAGCTATAAACGTATTATGTGCTTAGAACGTATGTGTAGAATCGCCAAAACCAATTTATTTTAATTACATAAAGAAGAAAAAATCATAAATTCTAATATTTTTACAGTATGTACCTAAAAAATAGAATCTACTATTTGTTATATGAAAATCTCTGTGAAATAAGGTTACTAAAATCAACTTCAAACATTATTACTGTTTTTCACATTCTTCACTAGTAACAAAACTCACAGGTTTGAAGAACATTTGAAGTATTTTCTTCACGTCCAGTTACAACACCCCCTTGAGTTCGTAACATATTTATCTTCATCACTGTATATAATTTTATTATTGTGACAGAACACAAGTGTAATAACAAATGTACATAAGTAGTTAAAATTAGGGAAAATATCGATTATTATTATTATTACGGATAAATTAAATAAGATAGACAAGAAAATCTTACTGTGTTCTTCTTGAAATGGGGTTATATTTTGGTGCCATAATTGTAAAAGTTCTCCACCAGTTAATAACCTTGTTCCTTCCAAATTCCATGATAGAGAACTAATATTTGATTCAGTTGTTAGACTACCAGTTTGAACCCATCGATATTCTAATTGCTACATATTATATAAAAGAATTATTAGATAATATATGATAATATGTAAATATTATTAATAAAAAATGATATGACTAAAAAAGAGACACATACATGAGAGCACGTGCTATGAATAAGTGGAGTTGGCTCAAAAATGCAAACTTGATTTTCATATGCTGCGGCTATTTTTCCTGTGTCAGTACTGCAATCCAAGCAACTAATTCTTATGTAGTTATGTATAGCTCCTGGTATTATCTGAACTCGTTCAAAATTACTGGCAAGAATTACTACATTACAACCAGCTGCATATGCCTATAATAGACAAATTCATTTCATAATATATTATCTAATCAAATTTTGAAAATTTAATAGTAACACTGATAACTATATTAAATATTTAGCTTATTTATTATTTAAACATCTTTACAAATAATTATAAGACATAAATATTAAATTTTTTATTAATTTTATATGAAAAAAATAAACATCAGTAATTCAGCTTATAATCAATAAGAATTAAAATTATGGAATAAATTAAACATAGTTTAATAGAATAACAACATAAAATCATGTTAAATTGTTCATAATAATATTGTGAGTTTGCAAATATTTCGTAGATAACTTTTTAATGAAATACATATCTTGAACAACTTGAAATCAGATATATTAATTTTTCGATATAATTTTGGAATCAGAATCAATTGCAAAAGGAACTGATTAACATTGTACATTACTTACAGTAAAAGAAATTCCTTCTACAGAGCCTACAGCGTAACAACGATCACCTGCATTGCAAGCTCCACTTAATATCTGATGACAATTCATTTTTTCTATCAAATATTAGATCATTCTTTATTAAACTGATTTTTTAGTTAGATGTATTGATTTTCTTAACTGTGACTGTTGATTTGCAACAACTTTTTATAAGTTACAACGTCGAAACGCCATCCGAAAGTGACATCACACGGCAGCACCTTGCTCGATTAACAGCCATCTTTAAATGGATTTCTTCGACATGATGTATTGTCACTTATATATGTTATCTAGTCGTACCAAAATAGGAATTCAAAATATTTAAATTTGTACATAGATTTCAATGAGTTGTATATTTGATTGGACATATACATATTTTTCATATTTAATACTATATTATAATGAATACTACCAGTTTTTTCATTTTTTATTCATTTTCTTGGTTTATTGGCTATGTTTTCTATATATATGTATATGTATAAATATATATATTAATTTAGTAATTTGAACATACATGATTTATATTGTTCAAATATTTATAATACCTAATATAAATATTAGATTTAAATAAATTTTACATATCTTTATTTAAAAATTTGGATAATATTTCATTAATTCGAGATGTTAATTTAAAAAAAGAATAAAAGAATAATGTTTAGTCGGAAAGTTGACAAAGTAATGCAACTCCTCTTATAATCCAATGTTCTGGTGATTTCAAAGTAGGTAAAGTCATAGCAATGACAAAATTTGTTGAATGTCCAGTGGTAGATAAAACTCCCCGTCTTTCACTAGTTTTATACACAGGACATACATATGTTACGTTTTCTTTTATATCTTCCTTTCTCATAGGAATTAGCCATATCTAAAGCGATAGTAATAATAAATTAGGAAGCAAGAGGCAATATTAAAAGGAAAAATTATTAGAATGTATACAAGTGTAATAAATATGTATATTTACAGGAAGCATAGCTTCATAAAGTACTTTTGGAAAGCTTTCGTCTAGAGTCATTTGTCTTTTATCGAATCTAGCGCCATCTAAAAACAATCCATCTATATATACTCCATCTTCTGGAGGAGATATAGGTGTTGTATCGAAATTTAATACACGAAAATCGAAAATTAGAAGATCTATAGGAATTTGATATTTCCTCGCATAGTTTTGTCTAGTTCCTGTCAAGAATGCTTGAGTAAAATAGAATCCAGAAATCCAATAAACAACTGGCGATCCCTTTTCATACCATTCCTATAATAAATGTAATTGAATTTGAATGTAAAAAATTAGATTTACATATAATGAGCAAAATTGTAGGTTTAGAAGATTCAAAACACGATAAAATAAATACATATAGGATAGATAAATTACTAATGAGTAATTACTATTACAAATTTAGAAAATGACAAAATTTTCCTTACTCGAAGGAAATTCAAACGGCTTAGCAAATCATGTATATAACTACCAAGTGGTTTTAGCGATGGATATGAATATTGTTGCCATAAAGTAGGTATTTTGCTAGTTAAAATCGCATCATAGATATCTTCTAGTTCAAATGACATGATAATAAAACCTGTATAATTGTAAATAAATGATAATATAAGCTGATTATAAGTGTAATATAAAAAATTTGATAAAAGTAAAAGAACCTTTAATAGCCTGTATAACATTTTCTAGACTTGTTTTAATGTAGTCAAGAAGTTTGTTAAATCTTCCCATTTCTTGTACCAATACCATATTCATACTTTGTTCATAAGACATTGGATATTTTTTGAGTGCCAATGTAAGGTCATAGTTATTTGGCAATTTTTCTAAAATGTCATTTGCCATTCTATATACTATTTCATCATTTGTAGCTTGTCCAGTTCCAGACTTGACTCTTTCCTATAACGAATAAAAGGGAAAAAAAAATCACATTATCATTTTACTTTTTTTAGCTTAAATCACATTATCATTTAGGTTTATATATGAAATAGTCTACAATATTTAAATGCTGTAGATCCACTAACCTGTTTAGATTTCCAGAGATCCTAATCCAGCCAATTAGACATAATGCAATATATATAAAAGTTGTGTGAGGAGAAATATTAAATACAGCAAGTACAAATTATCTATTCTTATTTTTCTTCACATTTTGTTAAAAATTGGATGTATTTGATAATAATAATATAATAATATAATTATAATGATTACTTTCTTATGTAATTTATTTGTACTCACTGTATAATAATAATATCAAATAAAAAGAAATCAGTAACATGTACATACCATACGGTCCTGGGCAAGATTATCATGCATGAATTAAAACATCATATTACCAGATATATAATAAATTGTGTATTAAAGGTAGAAATAAGTAGAAGATATAAAAGAATTCAAGATGATAGAGGAAATTACCTGAGTTAGTAGAAGTGATGAAAACAAAAGGTTCGTTTCATGCTGATCTTTTATAATGTCTGCATTTTCATTCATACCGAAAACACTCGGTTCGGTAATTAAGGGTAAATTTTGTGTATAATCCACAAACGCTTCATGTTCTCGTACATTTGGACAGTAATAAGTCGTTGAAGTATCATCGAAATAATAACGTTTCTCGTTAAGTAGCTCTCTAAAAAGTTAGAAAAATCATCATATAAAAATATGATTCGATAGATGGTAAAATAAATTAATTGAATTTGTGTAAATGTTAGATATATAATTATTTACTCGCAATAAAATTTCGATAAAATAGTATTTAGTGTTCTGCGATCCCAATTATCCGTCACTCGTCCACCGTAATTGCATTCTCCAGTTAAGTATTTCAGAGCATCGAACCTTACATCTTCGAATTGGTCAAGGAAAAGATGTAATTGTAAAATACTGATTCGAAGATCTGTTTCATTGAATTCGTATGTAATGTTCCAACCAATTGGACCAAATTTTCGCCTTTCTTGAATTACAGCATGGAAGAAACACAACGAATACAAAAGTTTTTTGAAATACTCGGTTTGAGAGCAAGACTCGAAAAAGTCTGGATCGCTGATTGGATCACTTGTATACGATCTAATGATGTTAGCTCTTAGTCCTTTTGGTGGTTCATTTGTCATTTTTATACTGTTTTGTAGAACTGAAGATGGAAAGTGTTCCGACGGGTAACTCGTCAACCACAATCGAAACTCTGAGTGAATCGTATCAGGTATCAAACCTTCGCAAATTTTTTCTAAGGTGTCCATCCAACTAATCGACAAGTGACAGTTTTGTAGAACTACCCAGTTACCAGCAATTACAGCTGTTTGAATCATTTCCTCGGCAATTGGTCCTTGCCCTATTAAACACTTGGTTGAAAATTGATCGATTTTTTTTCCCTCTTTATCTTTACCCCCTCCCCCCGCCCCTCATTTTTCTCACCAAATTTCTCCGAGAATATTTCATTATCAATTAAAAAAATTTCATTATAGATTCAATATGAGTATTTACCTTGACCGAGGGAAATATAAAAAAGGCGATTCACACTGTAACCTTGCTCCTCCGCAAATGCGAGTAGCAATTGTGCTGGATCGGTACCGGGCGTCAATATAAATATCAATGGAGTGCAACAGTTCGAATCGGCATAAGTCGAAGTCAAATCGAATGGTGGTGGTTCAATAAATTGTGAACCAAGTTCCGCTGAAAATAATGTCATCGTATATTATACGTGTATAATATACGAAATATCGAATGATACAATGAATGGTACCTTCGACAAAATTTTGTACTGCTGGAATAATCTTGTCAGGCCGAATACATCTCAATATCAACACTCTTTTAAATAGATTTAGATCTTGAAATGGCGGTGGGATTGTCTCAGTCTGAGGTTCCTTGGAGTCGAATAACTTTTTCCATTGTGCCACATTACTGGTAAATGCATTTCGTATGCCCTAATGACAGACGAACGATCGAGTAAAAATTAGCTTTTCGTAAATCATATTTTCTTTCAAGTTTTACAAGTAAAATATCGTTCATGTTTTCAGGCTAACCGAAAATTCTTCGATACTATCAAGGTTGCATAGTTCATTCCACTGTTTAATTGGTAACCATGATGTTGGATTTATATACGGATTATCGATACTGATTCCGCCCGTTAATAAAAATCTCCAATGTGATAGATTAAATTGTCCCCGTTGCTCGAGTAAGTTAATTGTTAGCAATAAGGAAAACAATAATTTATCCTTCTCGAATAAAGATCTACAAATGTTCGCGTAGAGGGAATGCGTAAAATACTTCATGAGGTCTGTTAGCCGTTGTGCAACTGTTTCCGCCGGTTCTGTGTTATCGGTAGCCAGTTCGAATAAATTTACAAACCAGGACAACGAATATTGATACATGGGATCAATATTTATCAACATACCTGAAATGAAATTTAGTTACTTTTAATTATTCAGTTTATATTTGCCCTAAGTACTGTACAGTATGTGTATGATGTAGAATAATAGTGATTTAATTTCGATCTAGCAACAATTCTGTATGCCCTTTAATCAATTATAAGAGGTTGGTAGTAAGTATTTATTTTATCGAAAAGAAAGGAGAATCAAAACATGATGTTGCTTTAAATACCAATTGTGAAAAATAATACGGTAGAATATTCAGCGATAGGGGTGTACTGTAATCTAGCATCATCAATTGACTTTTCAGTTTGTTCAGCTGCAGCTTGTTTCACTTGAATTTCATTGCTTAAATTTTTAGACGACGTTAAAATATCTACCGCTTCTTCGTCCTCTAATACATTGCCCTCGGCAATTGATAATATTTCTAAAATTTTGTCCTCTGTTTCTTGCAATAGTCTAATTTTCGAACAAACGAAAGAGAAAGAGATGAAGGAAAAGGAGAAGTAAAGTATATCTATGAAGATACATATAGAGAGTAGTGACATACTTTTTAAATAAATCGATAAGATAAATAGATGAGTGAAGGAAACAAGAAACGTACTTTTTGTTCGCAGCTCCTTGCACGATCAAAGCGTTTTTTTCTGATTCCAAGTCTGGTCTTTCCTTCGCCACAACAATACCTAATAATTGGTCCTCCAATCCGGTTGGTGTTATCATAAAATTCAGTAGCGTTACTTTAACTGCTACCTCTGGTAAATAATGCGGATTTCTTAATCTCGTAGTGATATATAGTCTAGGAAGAAAACAGATTAACAGTAGTGGAATATTTTATAATTTTTTTAACATTTTCTCGCAACGTTAAGTGCTTGTAGTATTAAAGTTATTACGCAGTAATAGGATAGTACCTGAAATTGGTATTATATTCGATAATTGCATCACCAAATTTTATGCAGAGTGCACCGCTTTGCTTGAACGTTTCTTTAAGTAATATCGGTTCAAGCGCAGCGTCTAGTTCTTCAGCGACATGCTCCAGGAGTACCGGTTGCCCAAATTGCAATGCGTTTTCCAAGACTCGGCCATAGTCAGGTTGATTTAGTCGAATGATATTCAGGTTATTTTCCTTTTCCATATTTTTTATCCATCTATTAGCTTGACTTTGAGGATCTATTATTAATGGCCATCTTCTTGCATTTCTAAATATTCGAGTCAATTGGTTCGATTAATATGATAATATTAATCGTTTCAGAAGAAAAGGAGAAACTATGAGACGGAAGACGTTACGAGAATTTACTTACTTGATGATTATACCATTATCGACAGAAAATGCATCGTTCGGAAGACCGAAAATATTCCAAGATCTGATTAAAGCTGGATCTCCAAGAATGTCACGTAATTGAAAATCTGAACTACAAATTACATCTAAATTGGTACATCGCTGTACCCATATGGCAATTTGTCGAACACGAAGTGGCATCGTAAATGGGCCTAGGTACGCTATTATACCAGAAGCGATGACGATATCACCCATTAATCGTTGATACCTGTGGGACGATAGAATTGCTTAAGTCTAGATATTATGAAAATGTACGTGTAGATTTGTATAGAAATTTTACCTTTCTCCCAAAAACTTTGCGGTATCAGACCAACGCGTGTATTCTCCACCCAATCCGCCGATCAACTCTTCGGCACGTTTTAACTTGATCTCACAGTCTGTTACTTTGTCAGACATTGCTTGAAAAGCTATTCTTCTCTGTTCCAATAGTTCCTCCAATGTTTTCAATTTTTCCTATGCAGAACGAATAAATTATACGATGAATCAGCATTGCGTTATTTGTTTGACCACTTTATACGCAAATGTGCACGCATAGGTACCTGTACTTGCCGAAGTTGGTCTCGTTTTGCTTGTAGTGTGTTCATGGCCACGTCGTAAACTTTTTGAGCTTCTGCCAAAGCTCTTTTTTTCGGAGCAACTACCTTCGATACTTTATCATATTCTGACATTGCGTATACCCATCGGCACAATCCTTCGCACGCCGTTGATACCTTTTTTATTTTTTCAGGATTAAAATCCGGGTTGGTTAAGTATTCTTTACGAATTTTTTCAATCACATTATCGGGAATGTTGTCCTTGTCAAAATTGAGCAACGAATCGAGGAACTTTGCGTCGCTTATCATTCTAAGAGACGCTCTCCAGTAATCCTCGGTATGCGTACCATCAGGTTGTTGAAGTTTCTCTGGTTTTATTTGCTATGCGATATGATAGGTGTCACTGTCAGTGCATTTAATTACTCGTTAAAGAGTCAAAACGAATTAAAGTACAGGTGAAATGTAGCGGTCAATCTCTTCGATCCAATTCCTTTGGATTATTTTCCACGCCTTACGTATTACGTACAACCAGAATCTTTTTTAAATTTTCTTTCTGTTGTAGAAATGGAAGTAAAACGTGTCTAAAGAGAAATGGCCGTGATTAACCAATACATTTACCTGGTACTTTATTAAAATCAAACGACAGGTTTCCAACCTTGAGGACACAAACGCTCTCGAGGATTAATCTTACTCCTTGTGGCGGTTTCTTCATCGCTCTTACTATAGCAATGTCAGCTGTTGTCAAAGTATCCAAAGCACTTTGAGCACGTTTTAAAATCGGCATCGCTTCGGCTAAATCAGCGTCACATTCGGCCTTAATCGCAGCTGCTTCATCCACACACACATATGTATGTTTGTATACATAAATTAAGCGACTCCAACCTCAGCTGCATTTTCATCGATTTTAACGATCTTCTCGAATTCTGCTGCTTCTTGCCTCTCCTTATCAACTTCAAGCAGCATTTTTTCAACATCTTGGGTAGCGATTATTAGTTGTGGTTGCAGAGATTTAAGAGTTTCTTGCATCGTTACGACTTGCTTCTGGGTATCGTCTAACTGATCTAAACCACGTTCGTATCGAGTTTTTGCACTCGTTATCTCGCTGTTTCGTAAAAAGAAAAAAAATTCAGTGGACTTGAAGTATCGACAGAAGAATAGTCGATAGAAATTTTCACGTGTTACGTACTCTCGTTTTCTTCCTAATAAATCTTTAAACGTATTTATCATTTCAAGATACGAGGTTGGAGTGACATAAACACGTCTATTTAATCGAGTCCAGAATTCTGCGCTCAAATTTTGTGCCGAGACGTGAAAAAATTGACACATATCGATAGCGGCGGTTCTTTCGTTATCCGTGAGTTCGATCATAGATAGAAATTTGGTTGAAACCGCTAACAGAGCGTCTTCTGGCCATGTCTTCAAAAACAAAATGTCGTGTATACATATGCAATAATGAAATTGCACTTGCATTACATTTGTTGCACTGATTTACCGTTATCATTATTTGATTAACAAGGAAATATCGATATATTTACAGAAAAGGATAATATCCAGTTTCTGCGATAATACCTGAAGCCAATCAATGGTACAGCAGTTTACTAGAGCCGGAAATTTTCTGATTCGATTGCGAAAATTATTTCCTATCGGAGACATCACTATTACGATGTGCAGTTGATCACGAGTTATCTGAACAAAGAGATTGAACAAAGCTACCGCACTGCCATCCGTTTGCACTGATCGATCTCGTTGTCTATCTATTTGCTTCATCTGTTCGTATATTTCCGCTAATTCTTCGCTGGTAAATATGTTCGGTACCTAAATTTTTTAGTCATCATCAGAATTTCGTGAGAAACTATTAACTATTAAAATGAAACTATTAAAGTAACAAAAAAGAAATGGAATATTTTACCTCTCCAGAATTAAGGATATTACTGATGTCTTCGAGGAAGCTCTCTTGCTTGATTTGAGTATCGGAAAAGAGAAAAGTGGAGTGAAGATCGGTGGCGGTTACGCGTTTTAGAATTCCTTTAATATCTTCATGCCACGCGGCAACTCCATATTGTTGAGTTACTTCAACTTGAAAAACATCGTAGTCGCATATATGCGAAGCTAGTCTGGTCAATGACTGCCTTCCTGTACCTCCAACACCGACAAGAAGCGCGTGATTTCGCGGTTGTTTGATAATACGAGAAATTCGAGACAGATGTTCAATGACAAACCTGGCGCGTTTCGTAAGAATTTTTATTCACAGTGTTTATGTCCGAGAATTAGTTTCCATATTGTTATTTGCATGTATGTACAAACAGTCTAATTCTTTATCTTTCACTCAAAGTTTTATACGTACCGAAATAAGACCAAATTCATTGGCTTTTTACTCATTGTATTGTATTCGGCTAGATAATTTTCAACTATTTCTCGTAATTGCTCAAGATTCGGGACCTCCTGATAAAGTCGAACATCCCCTTTCGTGTCACCAAAGTCGCAATATACTAAATTTCGAAGTTCTTGCTCGGTAATCAATCGAGGCTTAAATCGCAATAAAAAAAGATAGAAATGGATATGTAAGATGAGAAATATTAACAAGAGCATAATTAATGATCAAAAAGTAAGATGGTAAACCTACTTTATCACTCGGTGTTGCTACTTTCTGCGAGGGAAGAAAATCTTTAAAGAGCTCTTCCATAAGTACATTCATTCGACTGCTTAAGGTAACGCGTATTTGTTTCACCAACCAAGATATATCATCCTGATCTATTAAGCGATCTCCAAAGACACGAAGTACCTCGTGAACCCATAACCTTCTCATGTTGGTTAAAGTTGGCATAGTTTCTGGCACGGATAACAGGACACCCTATGTATATACATACATATACGTATGCATATAACCAATATTATAATAAACTATAGGATCGAATTTAATTGTATGTGCACATTGTTTGCTAACAGCTTTGACAATTGTTGACAATTGTATTATTTTAATTGACTAACCAACTGTGTATGCAAGTAATACTAATTAAACGAACGTTTAAGTTTAAATTTGACGATTTAAAGCTTGAAATAACCTGTATCACTTTGGAGAAGTCGCGAAGATTGAAGACATAATGACATTTGGCTGGCGTTGGTAAAAGATTATTGAGGCTTTCCTTATACACGTCTAATGTGCCCAGAACAATTTCGTCGATGCATGGATCGAATTCTTTGCTGAATCCTCTGACAGAAATAAAAATATTATTTTTGAAAAGAACAATAAACGGGAGAATAAAAGATTTGTACAAGAACAAAGGAGAAACGAAAGTAAAATGGAATGAATGAGAAGTATCTTACAAATTGTAATGTTATGAATGTACATATATATATACACATATACTTGGGCGAATGAATGAAGGATTTATATATACGAACCTCGTGTCAAGATGCCAGAGAATGATTTTACTAAATATCATAGACATTACTTCGTCTTCAAATTCTGATATCGTTAAGATGACAAAGTGCCTTTTAAATCTTGGTGTGACATCTCTTCCACCTCGATAGGGTGGAGCCATAGCACACATTAGATGAACGTCGATCAGTTTTATCATATTCTTCTCCTTTCTATCGAACCTGTGATAAAAATTAAACAGCATGTACCAGTATCGCTAAAAATAGATCGAAACGAAAACTGTACCATTCTCCATGATCTAGCCATTGTCGTAACAATTCGATTGGAGGTTGTGCACCGTAAGTTTCTTTCATCGGCATAGAAAGATCGTCGACGAAAACAATCCATCGTCTGCTTATAGGTGCTCCATAAACACCTTTTCGTCTTCTATCCAGTTTTCCCATAATAGTGTCTTGAGTTTGATTTGCCGTAGTTTGCGCGGAGAAATTTATGATCAATGGTTTGTTCACTGTAGGATTATTCTTCTTTAATAGAAAATCAATTATGTAGACCGATTTTCCTGTCCCGGTCGGGCCTATGAATAGCACTGGTTTTTCGTTGCCTACTAGCAAACGAAACAGAGCTGTGTACCGTATTGTCTCGATTGTAGGCACTATTATTTGATTCACAGGAATATCGCGAGGAATAGGAGGACTGTCGAGCAATTCATCGGACCACAGCCTCCACTTTCCTTTGCCCTGATCGTAAACAATAACGAAAAACATGTAAATATTGACGTTTTATTAACGTCCTATTAATTGCCGTATGTATCGTACTACTTACTTCTTTGATGAATTTATAGTCAAAGACAAGACCGTCTCGTGGCATAACGAATATATATGGCTTTAAAGGTGGTTCTATCGGTTTTGGCAATTGGAATGTTTCTAAGAGATCCGAAGGAAAAATTCTTTCAAGAAAACCACGAAAAAGAACGCTAAAACGTTCTCTCGATTTTCCGTTCAGTACACCGCCCAGTGCCCAAATGCACGAGAAGAAAAATGAACCCTAAGAAAATTTCAACAAGAGTAACGAGAAAAAAATTCCAAAGATCAGCTAGCCTAATTTAGTCATGACAAATCGAATAAACTTTTATATTTTTTATACAACGATACTTTCAACGAGAAATGTATAGGTTTTTCGAATTTCGATCTAACCTCGATTTGCGCTCGAAGGTCCAACTCGTCGATATCCTTGATAGCTTTCTCGTCACGATACTCACTGAGAAAACAGTCCATTAGATAGGTCAGTGAACGTATAAGATTTGTATCCGGCATAGGACAAATTTTCTATAATTTTTAAAAGGCTTTCTTAAATTTACGAGTATATGCAACACAAGTAAATTGGCACGAATGGAATTCTTTAAGGATAAGAACCTCGACATGTTCGTGATGTGACCAGTGAAGTAGAGGATCGCAAAATCTTCGAAATAGCGATTGATATAGAAAGTTTTTCAACCACGGATTCATCATTGACGGAGTCTCAGCTATCCAAGATTTAAGCAAAAGATCCCAACCGAGGGCATCTGGTTCCATATAAATCATTCCTACATTCACAAATCAAATCGGACCTTACGAAGATTTCTGAATATATATTTATCGAGAAAAAAAGTAATAGAGAAATAGAATAATAGGGAGCCATATACCGCAACGGGAAACTGTTGCCGGTGAAGCATGTTCCAAATCCATAGTTTCGAATATCAAATTGGTAGATGGTCCTAATTGGATAATTTCTCCACTCATTAAGCAAAGTTTTTTATTATCGTCGAGTACTGTATTCATGCTTTCGATCCATACTGCATCTATTGGTCCATCGAAAATTAACCACTTGCGATTATTGTTAGTCGAAGTAGCAAAATTGCGATAACTGATGGCTAAAACTCCATCGGACCATTCGTGGGATATCGGATCGAACTGCCCATATAATTGACCCAAGGTAACAGCCTTGGGATTCATCACGAACGTTTCTACTTTACGTTCATTAATCAAATTCTGAAATATTTTTTCTTGAAAGAAGAAAATCAAATTCTAATTATTTATCTATGTACATATTTAAACCAGCGATTCGACTTACTCGATCTTCGCAAAGTTTTAACGTGTCAGCTAGAATATTATACGCTGCTGTTTTCCCAGCAAATGGAAAGCCAACGATCATAAATCCATGTCGAACGATCATCATCTCGTACATTTGTTGTATTTTCTCCAAAAACCAGGCGCTACATTGCAAATTAGATGTCGAACAAGCATCATAAGCACACGCATTTAAATCGGTATAATCTGGTTCTGGAAGTACGACACCAGGAAAAAGATCTGACATGATTCCCTAAATTAAAGAGATGTCAATGGATCAAGGGTAGAGAAAGAAGAAAGCGTAATTGTGCAATAAGGGTATGTATAGTATACAATACATACATTAAATAATGGTAAGTCTTCGCTGAGAAATTTGGGTAAATTGACATCTTTGATGCTACGCAATACTAAAAGATCTTCGTTTAGCTCAGGATATTTTATTTTTAAATTTCCAGCCGCCACTAGAACAGATTTTACCGCTCGCATTCCATAATCGTAATGATTCTGATTTGACAGTTGTTCCGAGCACAGCCTATATGCTGTTACGATTTTTACCGAAAGTGGTCTTGCTTCGTAAAAACCGTACGAATATAACGTATTTTCGGCTATCAGAGCATAATCTGGCACCTAAAGAAGCAACTCGATTAATTTTTTCCTCCCTATTGAATGACTCGTTATATATTTGTACTAACCATCATTGCGACCGGTCGGAATAGTGCCTTCAAATTGTCAGGAAGTTCGGTTCTTCCGGCATAACCAGGATTCATTGTTATAAAAACGGCACAAGTAGGGTCTAAGCTAATCTCGGTACCTTCGAAAACCAGTTCACTTTTCCCAGCGTTGATAGCTCGCTGAATAGTTAGAATTTGTTGCGCTACCACCGATAATACTTCTAAATCGATACGATTGAACTCATCGAAACAAGACCATGCTCCGGTACTTGCTAATCCCTGAATCAAATTTTCATACATGTTATCGTATTATTCTTGATTTTATTATTTTTGCTGTATTAAGGCTTGATCCTTAATCGTATCGTAATTTAATACGTATTTAGTATCGTGTTATAATGAACCGATAAAATATGAATCGATGCAGCAGCAATTGCAACGACATTGACAAGAACGATTTACCTTAAAAAATTTACCCAATGCGAGGTAGTCGAGACCCTCGGAACAATTAAATACAACACACTGTTTAGCTACAGCTTTAGCTAAATCCTTAGTAGTTTCGGTCTTGCCCGTCCCAGCTGGTCCTTCGGGAGCACCACCAAGATGTAAACTTAACGCGCTAAATAAAGTTCGATAACATCTATCGGTCAACGGTGTTATAACCAATCTAGATGTGTTTCCTAGATATTCATACGCGTATTTCAACGATGTGTTTATCATTGTTGTCCACAGGTCTTCGTTCTGAAATAAAATGAATAACATGAAATAGGTAACGTATAGTTGGTCGACAGATTACGAGATATTATATCCTTCTCCCGTTTTCTTTATTCTTTGCCTACCATCCAATAGTATCTCATTTGTGCCAACCATTTGAAATCAGTTGGAATAGTGACCTGTTGCGTGAACAATTCTTCAGCAACGTCTCGACTATGGACGTCCATTGTAACCAATGCCTCTGAAACGAGTTATATCTATATACGTATGAAGAGGAAGCGTCAATTTTTCATCAAACACTATACAATTCATTTTACATTAATACCTAGTGTTACGCGATTTTGCGTTGACAATTTACCGCGTACTAATTTCACTATTTCATTCAATTCGTGTGTACAAATGTCAACGTAGTCTTTTAAATCCTTCAAGCACGTTGATAATGCCTTCGTTATGTCCGCTGTCCAGTAGAGTTTACTGATACAAAGAATAGTCTGACCAGGCCACTTTAAGGCCCATTGCGATCTGAGTTGTACCAAATATGCTTCCTTCGCTTGTATTACCTATTTAAGGTGTGTACAATTGCCTATACTTATTTTTTACTTCTTTTCTACTCTTTACTTCTTTTCCGCATATTGGTTTTTCGAATTTGATTGGTTCTCGGTGTTTTCACTTTAATCCAATGCAATCCCGTGCTACTATTCAAGTTTGCATTTACCTGTGCTTTAACGCTCCTTTTCATGGAAAATTCAAGTTGGAGTAACCACTTTTCAACCTGACCTCGGGCCGCTCTTGTGTCGATGATGTCTTCAAGAATAATTTCTTCACCCTCGGAAGATTCCATAGCTGTTATTTCCAAATCAACTGTGAAGTTCACCCGTGCAATTCCTTCGAAACACTTTTTCAGATGCGGTTGTACTCTAATATGCACGTTAATTACGAGGAAGGAATGCAATTAATAGATACTTCAATACTTCAATGTTTATAATGTATGTTGATTATATTCTAAATATGTTTGCACATGTGTGAAATATTTTGGAATTTGTACCTGGTAGGATCTTTTGTTTCCGATAGTATTTCTAAAAGTTCGTCATTCGATAAGAAAAAGAATCGTGGGAAATAAAGTCTTTTCTTTTCCAAGTAGGCAGTAAGTCCTTTCTGTATTAGATCCAATAAATTTGTACATTTTTTTAGCCGTTCGAGCATTTTATCGATTTCAACGACAGACATAACTCGAGGATCCGCTGCTACAGACCACATAATTTCTCGCCAAATCTATATATACGTATATAGATTTGTGTATGTATATAGATTTATATAGATTATAGATGTATATAGCATTAGCTATAGTATTAGCACAATCTCTCTATCTGTTTCTCTAATGTTTCCAGAGACAATATAAATTGCAAAGAAAACGTAAAGTAAAATATTTAGTTGATAAGTACCTTATCGACAGCACTGAAACGTCGACCTTCCTCTGGCATTTGCTGTTGAATATCTGGCGATGAAAATATCGGTTCCAAGTACATCCATGTTGCTTGAACTTGTAGCCAATAATCCATAATATTTTGTAATAAAAGTAACTTGGACTCCCATTCTCTGAAGGTAATGAATATAATGATAAATAAGTGGCAACTGACATGTCAATGCATATGAATCAGTCGGCGGAAAATAGAAAAAATGGAAAATTATTTACAAAGTCTCCTTTTCGAATGGTTTGATGTAAAGAGAATTTTTCATAGTCTGAGCTTTGATCAAGTGATCATCCAAAAGTAATTGTATATCATCAACGCTAGCAATGACGTAGGTGCCTGTATCGCGATAAGGATTCACGGTAAATATGATTTCGGCCCAATCAAGGAACATTCGATCGAGTGTTCTTTCTAAACTTCCTTCTTTGGTTGCTGCCTCTGATATTGTCTCGAATTTTGTAACGTAATCAGCTAGACCGTAATCGAGAATCTGTAAAATAGTTTCTTTATCGTGACACGTTTCGTCGTAATAACTCATAGAAAGCGGAAAAAAGAAATAGTACATAAAAGGTATATATAACATATGATATCTATGCGAAAGATTACAAGTCAGATCGAGTTGTTGGAAGATGAAGGAAAATAACTTACTTTGGCAAGCGTCATCGTTTGATCAATCTTTATGGGAAAGCCAACAATTTCCGATACCTGTTCCCAGTGACGACTCTTCATAGAAGGATTTCCAAGAGTAGTTATCACAGGTATATTTTCTTTGAATTCTTCTATCTTTTCTCGAATAATTTCAGCGAGTTTTTTCGTTATCGGCTCTTGTATAGAACGTTCCAATCTATAAATTGTTCGGTAAGCGGTTCCTGTCCCTGTTTCGATTACCTCTGGTTCATGAGAACCTATGATCGAATTCATCCATGTATCATAGTTTGTTAAAAAATCGCAGGCCGCGTCGTACAATTTTTTATACGGCGATAGCTTGTCCGCTGTCTAAAGCAATACATTACGATCGAAACGGATTAATTCACATATCATGACACGTATTCCGGCTATACGCATGTACAGTACTTACGGTTTTTCTTAAAGGATATTCGGATAATTCCCAACCAAATAGTTCCTCTTCCTCGTTGAATCCATCGATCACGTCCATCGCGGTGATCAGTTTGTTATCTAAGCGATCAGCTTTCTTCTTATATCGATATATTTCCTCGATATTGCCCCAATATTGCAATTCGTCACAGTACTTTGCGTATAATTCAAGTTCTCGTTCAAATTGATCTATTCTTTTCTTAAGAATACTTTGAAATTCCCCAATCTTACTCGCAACAATTTTTCTATGTTGCTCGAAAATTTCCGGAAGTTTGTAATACCTTGTATTGCACGCGATAAATATTGATAAAATATAATAGTTGGATTCGTCGAAAACGATGTTTCTTTAAACATGACTTTCTATCCTTACTCACCATTGGAAGGCAAAGTTATTAATTTTCAGTTCAACGGGACTTAAAATCGAGTAATCTGATAGGAAAATGATATATTTAATAATTTCCTTTAATTTATCTTCTAATTGCCTGGTAGTCTCTGTTTCCGTGATATTTATAAATTTTCCAAGTTCCATTAATTCTCTTGTATTTGCTGGGACGCTTAAAGCACGATCTACGATTCGCTGATATTCATTTCCTACGCTAGTAAATGTACGTGAGACTTGTTAGTATCGTAGCGCACAATATCACAGATTAATAACAGATCAACGAAAGTAAGAAAATGTACAAAAGAATCGCTTACCCTCGAGATTTTTGTTGATACTCGCTAATCATTTTAGCGACCAATTCCTCTTTAAGCTTTTGCGCGACCGAGGCAATATACTTAATGATCTCACCACGGTGGACAATGAAAAAGCCAGCAAAATAGGTTTGATCAAATTCAACCTTTACGAAACGGGATAAACGGTCGTAGTGTGCAATTAGAGATCGATAATTTTCAAAGTTTCTAGCTGTATCGCCTTTCAAGGTTTCTCTTATCTTCACGGTTTCCGAGTCATTTATAAAATTCGCGTACTTCTCGAATTCTTTCAACTGTTCAATCGGGCCAACTGTTTCTTTATCGATGAGTTCTTTAATTTCTTCTATACGTTTCATTACATATTCACGTGATACATATGGCTACGATAATAATCGATATATATTCGAAATGTTAAACAGCGAAAATGTTGTTTGTCTATTATGCGAAATTAATGGGGAAAAATGCGAAAAAATACCTCGAGTAACTTCCGATCGATAGTGATAGAGGTGATATTCAGTAATGTTTCAACTCGTGGCAATGTAACGATAGTTTCTCGCAACAAATTCAGTATCGTCGAAAATGCTTCTGTAAAGACTTTAAATGTCGGATCGAATAATACGTTTAAATTTCGTACCATCACCTTAATATCGAAACCTTGACGTGTATTCTATAAACGACAATAAATAAAATAAATATCGACTTCTTGGAATTATATGTAAATTTATTTATGCTTGATCGTTCGAATCGAATTCTTCTGTTTTCCTACTATTCCTTAATTCCTATAAACCTATAATCCTATAATCCTCATAATATTCCTTTCCAGCGGAAGTAAAGGTGGAAAATAATTCGTTACTCACGTTTTTGTTGTAAAGATAATCAACGTACTCTTCTACGGAATTCAGATAAAGCCTTTGCAACTGATCTTCCATGATAAAAGCGATACAACTGAAGAATCGACGATATCCCGAGATGTCACTGATCGATGGCAATTCGTTTCGTTCGTACGCCTAAATATTAAATACAATATTATACACAATAAAATACGTTAAGCTTGATGTCACGTGCACAGAAACATTTCATCATTTCGCGTTATTTTACTTCACGAAAGATAATTCTTTATACACATCTTACTTAACATTTCAAATAAATATTACAAATCTTTAACCCGGAATGAAGCTATTTCCACATTTGTATGTAACAGCGTATAGTTTATCATATAATACCGTAATTAAAATTGCTTGAATTTTCGGTAACCAATATTTAGCAAGCTCCTCTCTTGTCTTCTGACACATCTTTGAAATGGATCTCTCAAAACTTCCAAGATCGTACGAAGTGTCGCACGCTGCCAGTTCAATTTCGTTTATAAGTTTGCAGTCACTGTTATATCAGTACACGTTTGTATGGAGTATATGAAAACATATGTTATATTTTAATATTAGATTTAGTTCGATAGAATATTTATATATTTCTATTTCGGGTAGTGCTGTTCAAATCTAACTTAATAAAAATGGACAAAATTGGAAGGAAATACGAAATATCGTATTAGATATGTCGAGTGATTTACATAGAACGAAATCTTCAGACAATGAGACAACTCCACCAGTGGACAACACTGATTTATTGTCCTAATACCGATATCAACTGACCTGAATTCGCGATACCAATAATCGAAAATTCGTCTTACGACAGGACGGTATAATATAATTCTTCTCTCAAGTTTTATTCTGTTCCATCGATAGTTAACCATGTGTTCCTTTGGAAGCTGTATTCCTTTGAATTGTTCACCATTTGCGAATAGAACTGGCTGAAAATTGTAGAACATAATTTTTAAATATCATTGTTCTCATATTTTTCTACTCTGTCGTTTCCTCAATTTTCCATCACCATCCCACTTCTTCCCCATTGACTTTTCATTTCTTCCTTATAGCGAATGTTCTTCCATCGTTATCAATTTTCTTTTCTACATATTTTGCTTACAGGTAAGATTGTGCGTGCATATGTATTTATCAAGAGTCTAACGAGTCGAGTAACATTTTATACTTATGTATGTTAGCAGATTATTTTAGTAGATTACTTATCTAAAAAGGTACGATAATTTATATATGTATTATGATTATTTTGTAAATGAATCGCATTGCATCTTATCAAGTGAATTAGTATCGTTCAATGATACTAACACACGTTATCAATGAAAGCATACGTTACATATTTTTATCGATATTATCACAAATTGTGCGATGCGTTATCAGTATGGAAGATGAGGAAAGACGAGAGTAGCAACCATTGAGATTTGAGTATTATATCGACTGATCAGCAGTCAAGGCATTCTCATTAACTCCCCGTTTCACATAACAATGCTCTTCTCACTGAATCATGGACGTCTCCATCCCGCAATATTAAGTCATGAATATTACAAATTGCAGATATTAAATTTGTAGCCTACCTGTTTCAACGAAGAATACATCGAGTTTCCGATAACAAATTCTACGACTGATTTCTTTACATTTAATATATATTCTTCTTTCACTTCTTTCACTAAATAATCCAGGGAATCTTTAAACTTATTTCTCCATTTTATTGGAATACGTTTTAAAATATGTTCTAGAAGATTAGCATCCATTGATCCTACATACGCATCATCAATGCCTTGTATCAAATAATAGTAGTATCGCAAAATGTCATCGTTCTCTTCTTCGTCTTGTCCTATTTCTTCTCTACATTTACTGAACTTACAAAATACTTTTTTCTTCTCTTCTTTTCTCTTCTGCTTTATCATATCAATAAGGTGAGTACGAAACTTTTCTCTTTCTTGACACAATGACAGATATTTATACATCCTTTAAGTCGATGTCTTTCGAGCATATATTTAATGTAACTTTTTGATGGACAATACACACACGCACACTTTGTAAATTCGATAAATATATATTTGAAATTATATCTTTTTCGTAGAATGTCAAACGTTATTTCTTTTATTAAATGTTTCGTAATATATGTAGATTTGTTGAATTGTTACGAATTAAAGATTATTTAAATGTTAATCCAGTGAAATTATAGAACTAATTAGGTCAATATAATATGAATCCTTTAATCTGTATTGTTAATTTTACATACCTCTATTATAAGCTATTTATTTATAAGCGATACATCAATATATTCTACTGAATAAAAATAATTAAAAATATTGACTATAAAATAAAGTTATAACGTATATATCCTTGTTTTTGCCGTTCGACTTGTATTATTGCACACGTACTTGCGACAAAATGATAATTGTTCTTTCAATAATTCCCTACTAACCTAGAGAATACGTAACTTTCCATGGTAACCAGGTTACATACTATAGTCTAGCATTTTATTTTTTATTTGGAACATATTCTCGAACTACATATGTATATTTCTGAATTAATTGTGTTGAAACATAGCTTTTAGCGATCATTGTATTTTACAATGTATGTATGCATGTAATATACGTTGTAAATTTACTTCAACGTTATTCACAGCAGCACATTCGAATCACGTAAAGAAAGAATAATATTGCAAGAATGAGAATTATAGTCTGCCTCTTATCTTTTCCAAAGATTTAATCTATTATATTTGAAAGTTTTAACTGCGTATGAAATGGTCAAACGAAAATTTTAGGCAAAGTAAAATAATACATTGCTTATTAACCTTCGTTTATTTACATTTGTATGTTCATTAACAGATGCATGAGATTAATAATTGCGTCTTTTATACATATAACTTACAGTTGTTATTATATTATATACATACATATATATGCGGATTCATTCACAAACATACTTAATGTATTATTTTACTATTTTTTTTTAACGCGTTGATTATAGATTTTAATGACATTGAAAAATTTAGTCAATTTGATCATTCATTATAAGAAATTAATAATAGAGGTGTTCTGACCTCGTATGTTTGTACAAATAAATTTGCATACATATGTAATGCGTTGTTTTTGATTGTCAGTCAATAGGCTTCATTACTTTTTGATCCCACATCAAGTACTTGTACAATGAATTTACATACATATCAACTTTAGTTAATTCTCATCTTCCTCTCCCTGCAACTCTCACTCCCGCCAACCCTCCCACTCACTCACTCACTCACTCACTCACTCACTCACTCACTCACTCACTCTCTCTCTCTCTCCCACCCTCTCTCGCGCTCTCTCTCTCTCTCTCTCTCTCTCTCTCTCTCTCTCTTTCTCTCTCTCTCACTCTTTCTCCTGCATACATGAGCGTTTACTCGCTGGCTCGTGCATTTGTTTCTCACTCTTTGTTTTTCTTTCCAATGTTGATTAAAATATGCTTGAGGAGCATAAAATTATTACATCGAAGGTTAACAGTTGGTCTAAGTAGACGGATAATGTACAACTAATTCTTTTCACATCAATACCTTCTTTTTTTTGCATTATGTACGGTGAACTACTTTCTAAGTGTACGAGATATAAAGAAATAGAATTATATACCTATTATTTCAATCAAACACGCAATATTGCAAAAATAAAATATTTTAGACATTAATGATGCTTCTTAGTCGTATTTTACATACAAAGAATTATTAAAATGTTAATACAAAATCGTATACAATCATAATACGTATATCTATATACTCGACATGAATAGAATTCTGGATAAACATGATAAAAATGTAAATAAATATCGTAAAAACTGGTAGCAATTAAATGTGAAATCCCAAGATCAATTGTTTAAATCCAATAGTGCGAAAGATCAAAAACCGATCGTTGCCCGTGATTCATTAATTTACATTATTTTGCATTTCTCACAAGTATTTGTGTTGTTTAATATTTTATGAATCGGATTAACAGTTGCTCGGCAAAACACAGTAATTCTGGGAGGCAGCAAACGATTAAGGTCTCGTGAAGCGATATCGGTACGGTGTCCAGGCGAATAATTCTATGAAAAGAATAGATATACCAATATAGTATACTAATATAGTATATAGTATACATTCTTTTATGCGTGTGTTATGCTTAAGGGGTCACAACGTGCATAATGTTGTCGTGTCCTGATCAGCGTGGCCAGATAAAGATTCCACGTTGCCTCTCCACCTCACATTTTGCCACCCTAGACACCCTTGCGCTTTCACCGCTTTCACCGTGAGCGTGAAGTTTTGTCGCCTGAGCCAAAGTAGAGGAAAGTAACGGGTGTTCCTTATAGAATTAGTATTCTTACGTAAGATGGGTTTGCCGCGTACCGTAATACAAAAGAACACTCGTTATTTTTCCCCATTTCGTTGCAAGTGGCTCGAGGCAGGGCAGGTATACAGCATTCACAACGAATGCTGAAAAAGTCAAGGGGAGTCCAGTCCGACAAAATGTGAGAAGGGGAAACATGGAGTCTCCATCTGGGCACACTGGTCCCGATACACCGTTTCACACGTTTGCAATAACGAATTATTACGAACATATTAGACGATTGTATTTACCTATAATTTCCAACAGAAAAAAGAAAACGATATACGCATAATTTACTTATGAAACGAGTATCGAGATGCCTCTGATACGATGTTTTGAAATATGTATATAATCACAACTATAACTATACATATATTATTGGAGAGGTTTGAGCTAATGAGTGCATCTCGCGTAATAATGCATGTTATTATGCATTATTACGCATGCTAGGTGATCTTATTAGCTGTTATTATAATAGCTGCGGTACTACAGGATACGAGGATAAGATGCAAGCTAAACGTTAAAGCATGCGTTAATTAGTTAGTAATGAAAATGAACGAGGACGTCCTAACTTGTCGGTATTTCGACACAAGTCCTTGAAGATATCGAATTCATTCGTATGTTTCTCGCTAAATTTGGTAATACGTAAGTATATACAACGCATAAATTTTTAAAAAATATGAAAATTGAGAGCTAGGAACTTGCTTGCTTGTGTATCTAATGTGTGGAGAAAAGGAAAAAGTCCTTCAATCGCTGTAATTTATAGGAACAATTTGTTAGATAATATTTCATACATAACTTTGTACACTATTAAAAATGTATATTGATCAATCTGATCTGTATAAGAAATACGTACAAGTTCTTCTTTTTTTCCCTTCGTCTCCCTTATTTTAAAATACGGTTTATCTTATTTTGTTGCACATATTCTTGAACAACGTTCATAACAACTGTACGATATGCAACTGAAAAAAAAAAAAAAAAAAAAAAAAAAAAACCAAAAAAAAAAAAAAAAAAAAAAAAATGAAAAAGGGTGAAAAGAAAAAGAAAGAAAAAACAATTTAATCGATAGTGAAATATTTAAGTTTCAAATCTCAAATTTAATTAGAGCTTAAAATAGCAGGATTAGAGTAGCGATAAAAAATTTTTCGTTCCGTCCTTGAACATAAAATCATATACTACCATAAATAACACATACAAGAGATTTGTGTGTAATCAGCTTGATGATCAGGTTAAGGAAATGAGTCGCGATAAGAGCGATGCAAAGCTACGATGTTTGAACATAGCAGCAGAATTACGCGTAATCATTAATTGTAAGTTCGTTACGCTCTATGATTTACCATTGCTAGTGAAGCATGGACAGAGCGCGTTCAGTATTCGACTGCAGAACCCACGTGCACGATGATTCCAATCAGCGATGCTGGTGACACCCTTCAGTCTACTTCCTACACAAACATACATATCGTTGATTTTATTGAAACTAGAAAAGGAACAACGAATAAGGATAACATATCATGATATTTTTTTTTTGTTGATTGTACAATGAATTCCATAACATAATATTAAATACAATCATAGGCTTACCTTCACTGCTGTCTCCTTTCTGAAACACAAAATCATCAATGAACAATTACATTCCACCAGCATCATTTTAAATATCACGAACAAAATTTTATACATAATTTACCTCAGTGTACACTTTTCTTTTCGAAGCTTCCGTGGTTGCTGTTTGTATAACTTCACATACAAATTTCGTCGTTTCCCTCATTAATTCTTCGTCATCTTTAAAGGCTTCTTTTTTTTGTTCTAGCGTTCCTGTAGCTAATATCTTTTCTCGTTCCTCCATGCTCCATTTACAAGAAATAGTAATGTTCGCTTCTTTGGCCATAATTTCTATGATCACGTTCCGAATTTGATTAGTTTTGATCTGCAGTACTTTTGGAATATTTAAGTAAAATGATCATCCTGTTAAAACTACAAACGAACATGTGTATACTTAAAAAAATTTCATTAAAAATAATAAATATAAACTCGCTACAAGTTATGTTATACAATATAATATATCGTTCAACTTGCCACAGTGAAATCGAATTAGATTTATCTTCCCTCTATAGCATTTCTCTTCTTTCTCTCCTTTTCTGTTTCGTCTTCAACATTTACTTTTTCTCTCGCCCTCTCTCTCTCTCTCTCTCTCTCTCTCTCTCTGCGCTCCTTCCTTTACGCCTGTATTTCGTTTTTATAATTTCATTGAATCCTATTGCAAAAAGAAACTCAAATAAAATTGATTGTAGCAATTAAGCGCGTGTCCACATAAACATTTAAAGCTCTAATTCCGAAAATAATACTTATTGATGTTATAATCAACCTATTTATTATTAAAAAAATATTTATGTATGCAAAAACATATAAAAACATATATTGTACATTATACGTTATATATTAAATATTTTATATTATATATTATATATCATATATTACGTATTTTGTATTATATATTATATATTACATATTTTATATCATATATTATATATTGCATATTGCATTTTCTGTTTTATGTAAGAACATACATACTGATGTTGATACATTTGTAAATATATGATTTCATTTGCGATTCGTTTATTAGAGCTATTACGATGAACTTTCTAATATATTTGTTGATATGTCAAAGTACCTAAATGATTCCTTTCAAAGGAAACTGTACGAAGAAAAAGGGAACGATAAAATACAAAAAATATTTTACTTACACTTGTCGAGGAACTCGACGAAAAGGCGATTGACCTTTTCAGCGTAGATATCGAGCTACAGGTGGTGCGCATTCGTTTTACAAGGGAGTCTGAATGCTGACCATTCAATGTCGTCACGCATTTAAACGATTGTTAGGTATCATTGTCATGGTGTATTGTTTTAACCTCACTTGAATTGATTACCTTTTAATTTTCTCAATGTTGATATCCGTTTTATTTAATTAATCGGAGCCTCCTACAAAAAGATAGTTTTATTTCAATTCAATCTTGTGATATCCTTGTTCTGTTCACGTTTTCTTCTTTCCCCTTCCTTCGCTTTCTTTCTGTATTTCTCTTCCTCGTAACAAAGCAGAAAGTTATTATTTATTGTTTTTGCGCAAATTAAATATCAGAATTTTTACTATTGGTAAAAGATATTCCTCTGAAAGAAACTATACGTAGGTACACATCATAACGATCGATACGCATGTCCAAATTGTGCTTCGCGGTACGCCCGACCACTGATTCACCTCGTAACGATCGAATGTCTGCCAGCCTCGGCTGCTGGCTTCGTTTGCCTGACTGAATATCACCCCGGGGAAACGTGACGGAGCATGCGTCGACCTCCGCGCGACTATTAACTACATATCTCTTTCCCAGTTGTACGGTCTTCCACTTTTTGCCTTTTCTAATTTACACTTCCTTCTTTCATCACTTTTATTCTTTTTCATCTATTTTTATGCATTTGTACATTACAAATTACGGCTATAGAGCTATGATTTTCGTTCGTTTTATTTTTATACAGAGTAGTCGCATAAAATTGAAAAGATATAAATTCGTTCAATGCAATTTCGCGAAACAGAAGCAACGAATTGTCAACATAACAAGTCGATATGTTACAGTGTTAAGTAATTCCTTGTTTTAGCAGTTTTGTTTTTTCTCTTGGAGGTAAAGATGTAAATACGAACATGATGCGCGCGCTTAAGAGCAAAAACCTAGTAAGGGTAAGCGAAAGAGTGGTAATACAGAAAGAGAGAGAGGGATATTTCTAAACATAGTAAAAGATCAATATAGTTAGATAATATTCTCTTAAAAATATTACTCTGGTTTGAATATATCACTGTTATTGTGATGTAGCATAAGCAACGTGAAGTGCATATCTTGTCGATATTATAGAATATATTGAAGAAAATTATAAAATGTAAATAAACTATGCAAATATTACGAATACTATACAAATAACTACGTATAATACGTGTACTATATCTTTGCTACAGATTAGCGTAATGTTTGTATATTTTCAGATATGACGATGTAATATTTATCCGACGAGGGTTAGATTGAACAAATATTGAAGAGATCTCTTTGATTCGAATTTTATTTTACATGAGTGATATTTATCATATTACGTGCCCATAATTCATTTTATTCATTTTAGTACATCGCGAAATAATGCTACAGATAAAGTATCATCCGTAATAATATATTAAAAATTGTCATACCACATAAACGCTATAGTATAAAGTCGAAGCGTAGAGGTTTATTTGCTTCTACGTCACTTTTTACCTTTCTTTTTCTTCCAGGACATACGCATACGATATAGTTTCCAATTTCGTTGAATAATTTTTGCAGCGCGATTTCGATAAAAATATTTGATTTTCTCTAGGAAAGCTTTTTTCACGTTCAGTTGCTTTTCCTCCTTTAATTGTTTATGTAAATTGCGTTGAACGATAAGCTGTTCCTACAAACCATCACACACATATGCTAGTAGTATGGTTAGATTAGCAAAAGTTTAAATTTTCGAAATTTATTCAAAGTAAAAGAAATTTCTTGAAAATACAAATAATAATACAAAATAGATACAAACTTTAATAAATCGGTTGAACAAACCTGAATAATGGCATATTCTTTATCGACAGCATTTTTTCTACCCAAACGAGTAATTTTGTACGCATAAAGTGATCCGATATCTCTATCATATTTTACAAATTGATCCAAGTATCGCTTTCTTGCTTTATAACTGCAGTCCGTTACATAATGTGATTACATGTAGCAATTTATAACAGAGTTTTAAAAAAGTTACAGTAACAAATTCTCCACTTACCGTTCGTGATACAAACGATTTATTTTTAAACAACGTGTTCCATCAAGAAATTTTAAATAAAGGTCAACCCACTCCATTTCTGTTCCCATAAATTCTTTTTGTATTTCATTTTTAAAATTTGTAACTAATAGCTCCGACGAGAATTCTGCTCTAAAATATATATTCATGTTTCTTACCACAAAAAAGTCGTGGCTATATACGTATAGTAAAATGTCGGTATTAGCATATTTTTCATATATACGATTATTAACACGTAAACCAAGTATATTTCGTTTGTGATAGTATTAGATCATGATTTTTGTCTCATTGTTAATTTTCTTGCCGGAAAGAAACACGGAAAGTTACTTACGCCCAAGTCGTTATTGTTTCTCTTAAATTTTCTTTGATATTTTTTTTCGCGAATTTTGTTGCTTTCTCGTTTAATTTAATACTTCGTCGAAATTGGTTAAATTCTGAACTGTCATTTTGAAGGATAGACATCCATCCTATTAGAAAACGTATACTATATATTATTAAATCTATTTTCGATATCATACATACGTATGTATATGTATGTATAGGAATAGAAAAAATTAAAAGAATAAATATATTTATCTATTCATTTTTAAATGGCCTAGTGGTATAAAATTTACGTACGCTTCATTTCGTATTGTGCTTCCTCGATGTCCTTTATAACATTACTCAGTTTGATATTCCAAATTGTTTTCTTTTTCAGATGCTGTTTTTCATTAGTTTCGATCAAACAGCAGAGTAATTTGACTTTTTCGATCAATATCATTTCTTGTGAGTAAAACTTTTGCTCATCTATTTCGACTCCAAGATTCAGATACTATATAATCTACTTATTAATTTGTTTGTTTGGTATTTATCTACTTACCGATATTTTTCACACAATCAGAACATTATTTTGTATACAACGCGTAAGATGAAATTACAAATCAAATGTAATGATAACAAACAATTTTATACAAAGAATTATATAGAATTATAAATAATTTTCTTCTTTATCTACATTTCATATAAATATTTCATTTACATTTTCCCTATTCACTTACCCTTTTTGTAAGTATTATTAAACACTCATTCATTTGGTCAATCTAAATTTGAAATTTTAATATGCTTCTTCTTCTTTAATTAATTGTATAACTCCATAAAATGAAATATTAAACTGTACGCGTATGAGGTCGGTTGATGTTTATACGATGTATAATATATATATACGTACGTATGCATACGTTAGATGACATTAGAGTTCACCGTGTCCATAGTTACGTGTTGAGTTAGTTATATATGTATGTACTTGCTTTTTACCATGAATACAAAGATAAATATGATTGAATACTATTAAGTCGGTTTTCCTTTTTAAGTTAAATGTACTTCGTTTTTTAACGATAAAATTCATGTATTGTTTAATAGCATGTCGCTTCATGTAGCATTAAAGAAAATTAAATGTCATGAAAGTTAAATACAAAACCACGTATAAAAATTATAAATACATGTGTCTGTATTTTATTTTGTAGCATATTTAATCCAAAAATCAAAAATCACTAATACTTTAAGCAAAACTAATATATATTTATATATCGATGATTAATTAATTTGGAATATGATAAAATGACCAAATTTATAATTAATTCATATATAATACGTATTAAATAATATTACGTATGAGATATAGGATATATACATACTTCAATCCATACTTCGTACGTAATAATACCCTCAAACTTTCATCATAATTTGTCGTTCAACTATTATCGTTCAAGTTAAATTGGCTGCTGTTTGGTTGCGCTAGTGTTGCTGCTACAGCGCTAGTGCTGCTACTTCGATGCGATTATCACAGTTATTAGTCGAGTTTAAGTCGAAGTATCGTTGAGTGTGTTGAAGAGTCGTCTGCGATATAATAAATATGGCGTACCGCGGTGTGAAGGGTTCTGATCCATTCGTTTCGAAAACATCGCGAAATGAACGTTTTGCTCAAATGTCAAAGCAAGAACAAATTATTCAACAAAAAAAACTTGAAATACAGGCGAAGATGCAAGAGCAAAAAGCAAAAGAAGCTGTGGAAAACTTGAAAAAGACAAACGCGTTAACCACGAATTTGATAGAAAATGAAATGAATTCTTCCAAGTGAGTAACTGTTACTTTCAGAATTCTGTTAAGTTTCTTATTTTACGAGTTTATAAACATTTCTATCGTTCCTTAATTCAAACAGTTCTTATATTTCGAATAATATCATAATATAATTATCACAATACTGTTAATCAATCGAACAAATTATTGAAATATTTATATAATAACGTTTATTTATCTTGATTTCTTTGAATCGATTATTTATTAATTTAATACTTTCATTTAATAATGTTTTATAGAAAAATTATGTTTTACTACAGAAAAGACGAAGACAAACCAGCAATATCTCAAACGATTAATTTATTTGCCAATGATGGTAGCTTTTTGGATCAGTTTAAAAAGATTGCAAGTAATAAAGGCTCAGGGAAAACAGAGTTGATGTTGCCTTTGAAGGTAGAAGAGAAAAAGGAAGAAAAGAATAAAGAAATTACACAGGATAAGGAACGAAGAAGAAATAACGACAGAAACAATGATTGGGAAAATAGAAAAGACCGCAGAAGGGACGATCCTCGTTGGGAAAAAAGTTCCGACAAAAGGCATAGCTCTTCTTCTAGTCCATCTCCTACTAGACATCCTGCATCTCAAAGCCCAGAAGCTAGACGTTCATTTAATCAAGTGACTTCTAATGGGCAGCGTATACACCACAACCATCAACAGTTTCTTTCTCGCAATGGAAGTTTATCTGCTGTATCTTCCCTTGCATCTCAACCTATAATGCATCTTACTGGTGTACCATCACCTAACATAAGGAGTATTGTAACCAACGTACCACCTCCAAATTTATCAAAAATGCCTCCTCCAAAAAGTATGTGTAACACTTTTCCTAGACTAGACGATCGATCTGGAGATCCACGAATGCAAATATCATCATCACATACAATTCGACCACCTCCACCTCCACCACCACCTCCCCTTCCTGTGCAACCAGTTCCACCAAATACCAATATGCCTCCACCAAGTATTCATATTTCTCGGACAGTATCATCCAATTTACAAAGTTTACCATCATCACCGTCACCAAATCTATTAGTATCTTTATCATCTTCCTCATCATCAACATCGCCAACGGTATCCACGTCACCAATGTCGCCGTTATCAATATCATCACCACTACCACCACCATCACCATCATTATTATCTTTATCATCTTCCTCTTCCTGCTCCATTTCTTCTTCCTCCTCTTCCTTAGCCTCTTCTTCTTCGATTTCCTCTATCCCCTCTTCCTCCTCCTCCTCCTCCTCCATCTCCTCTTCCTTTACCTCCTCCTCCTCCTCCTCTTCTTCCTCCTCTTCATCCTCTTCTTCTACTTTAACATTAACAGCGTTGCAACTTCCTTCATCACTAACACCGTCATCGCCATCAGCATCGTCGTCATCATCGTCATCATCGTCGTCATCGTCATCGTCGGCGTCGTCGTCGTCGTCGTCGTCGTTGTCGTCGTCGTCGTCGTCGTCGTTGTCGTTGTCGTCGTCGTTGTCGTCGTCGTCGTCGTCGTCATCGTTATCATTATCGTCATCCTCATCGGCATCGGCATCGGCATCGGCATCGGCATTGGCATTGGCATTGGCATCGGCATCGGCATCGGCATCGGTATCGGCATCGGCATCGGCATCGGTATCAGCGTCTTTGACACCGTCCTTGTCGTCGTCATCGTCGTCGTCGTCGTCATCGTCGTTATCATCATCATCATCATCATCATCATCATCATCATCATCATCATCATCATCATCATCATCATCATCATCATCATCATCATCATCATCATCATCATCATCATCATCATCATCATTATCATCGACTTCGTCGGCGTTGCTATCGTCATCGCCATCGACTCCGTTATCACTATCTTCGTTATCGTCCACATTATTGGTGTCGTCAGAATCAAACACACGACAGCACGTACTTTCAACTGGACAGCAGTGCGGTGTACCACCTCCTGCATCATTACAACCTATGAATTTACCGCCTCCAAACATTCCTCCTCCTAATTTGTTATCAACGATGACACAAATACCACCAAGTATAATGTCGATTCCGGCCTCACAGACAATCGTGGTCAGTGTACCGAATACATCAAACGTGCCAAATGTTCCGAATGTTCCACCACCAAATGTAATACCACCTGTGATGATTGCACCACCGCCCGTTCACAATGTAGCGTCAAGTATAAATTCAGTTCCACCCCCAAATTTAAATATTCCGCCTCCTAATGTACCGCCTCCTTCCTTGATTCAAAACGCTGGCCCACCACTTTCTCTAATGTCGACCAGTTATCCTCTTCCTAATCAAGTCGTTCAGGTACCTATGGGACCACCTAACATACAAGTGCCACCACCAGTGAGGCCATTGACTGGTCTACGAGCCTCTGAGCAGCTAGGTACGATATGTCGATTATTTTCATTTATTTCTTCGTTTCGACGTATCGCCGCGTGTTTATCTTTATGAAGAACAAGTTATTTCCTGTAAAATTGGATTACTTGTTCACGCAATCCAGAATATGTAAGTGTTCGTGCGTGTGCGCGCGCGCGATACGCCGAATACAAGACGCGTGGGCAAATACGAAACTTGCAATAGCAAATTCGTGCTGATCATTCGTGTAGACAAATACATGTTCTACACTACAGAAACAAAAACAAAAACCAGAGTTTTAGCGTTGTTACGCATGTCTGACAAAGGCTTCTAAGTGTGTCCCGTAGAGGCTGAGCAGCTGGCACGCATCGTCGCTGACTGTGGGGATGAAATCGAACAGGAAGCGCGAGAGAAGAATGCCCAAGATCCTAAATTATGGTAACTACTGTCCTCACTGGTCCCCATCTATAATGCCTTAACTTGTCGTGTTGTCACTTCTAATGTTTTTTTCTTTTTCTTTTTCTTTTATTCCAACTTACGTATCTTCGCTTTTTTTAATTCCCGTGTTCAACTAGCTGAAGTAGTGTGTAGGTAATACGACTCGATTTGTATCACTTCTCACTTCCATCAATTAATGAAATGATTCTAAATTAGTAATACATATTTAACAATATGTGAAGTTGTAATCAAAATGTGACGAATTAGTTTCGTAATTATATATAACGTGTAAGTAGCAGATGATTATTATTTCATCGTTTATAGTATAACGGTAGTATTTGTATCGAAAATGACATTGCATATTGATTACGTTTACGTATTCGTTGTATATAGTGAATCAATCTAATTAACTTTTTTTCTTATCAAATGGAAACAATAATTGAAAATTTTAATGTCAACTGATGAATTAGGTCGAATTTACGTGATATATCGTGATATATTATATATCTTTCTTCTTTCTCCCTGTCTTTGTATCTCTCTTAATCTAAAGGAATCTAATTTAGGATACTATGTTACTCGTCAGAGTCTTAAGTATTGTTTTAATCAAGGTTTCTGCACCAAAAGCAAAGTGCAGCCTATCTGCAGTACAGGGGGTTGGTGGCAAAATTTCGCGCCGAAAAATCCATTAAGGAAAGTAAAAATAGTGGCGCGGAACTGTATTGTCCAGAAGAAGCTCTCAGCGATAATGATGATAGCGATCAAGCTTCCATCTGTGTCAAATATGTTTCATCACAAGGTATGTAATATATCGGCTTTTGACTCGCGTTGTACTGTTATGAACGTGATACCTCCTTTATATAATTTTACATGTTAAACAGAAAAGAAACGTGAGAGAGAGAGCGAGAATAATTCTATAGATCGATCAAAGGAGGACAATAAGGATGAACGTAAGCGGAAAAGACGTAGTCGTTGGGGTGATGCGGATAATAAAGTGTCTGTAACAGAAATAAACACGTTAAGTGGTCATAGCAAACAACAAAGCAGTAGCGGCTTTTCACAGCCAGGTATCGCGATTCCTGGACAAATCGGACAACCGGCTGTTATAATTCCACCATCAAAAATGCAACGCGCGGAAACAAAAAATCCTATGTTGACTAAAATTTCAAGGAACGATCCAGCCTTGATACAATATGCTCGACAAACTTTCGGTACGTTGGATCTCACAGAAGAACAATGGAAAAAAGCCGAAGATCATTATAAGGTGATAAAGTTATTTTGTTCCAAAGATTAATTATTATTAAGTAAAAATATTGGTCAAGATTATCGCTTTAGTAATTACAATTTCTACCAATACATCATTTACTTTAACCGTTTATCTTTCTCTGTACAGATAAATCTTCTCTATCAAAATTTATTAAGGAAGAGGGAAGAAGTGAGACGTTTGGAAGCACAGGGCAAACACAAATATGAGTACGATAGCGATGAAGAAACAGAGGGTGGTACCTGGGAACACAAACTCAGATCTGCCGAAATGGAAGCCACTCAAATGTGGGCAGAAGAATTAACAGCTCAAGCAGAAGGAAAACATCATATTGGTGATTTTTTACCGCCGGATGAACTTAAAAAATTTATGGAACAATATAATGCTGTCAAACAGGGAAAGGAACCCGATCTTAGCGATTATAAAGAGTATAAGTTGAAAGAAGATAACATAGGTAGGTATTTTGTTTATGCGTTCACATATACATACTTTTAAACGCTACCTTATATACATATATAGGTATAACATGTAAAATAAAGTATTAATACATTTAATAGCTAGAATTTGTATTTTGTTAGGATTTCAAATGTTGCAAAAACTTGGTTGGAGTGAAGGTCAAGGATTAGGTAGCGAAAGCAACGGTCGCATCGAACCTATTAATAAGTAAGTGATATTTAATTGTACTTATAATCTTCGTATTAATTTTATGGAAATTTTTTTTCAATTTTTTTTTTTTCGAGAAGCACGCTTTATTAACGAGGATTCATAAAATCTCATCATCCGTCTCATTTACTGTACTAGGCTGTATTTACTATATTGGACCATATGTCTTTTATCAGTATTAGTCTCCTCGATATTTGATTATCCTTTCTTTCTTATAGAGCAACCAATAGATTCGACAGTGCTGGTTTAGGTTCTGAAAGGCCAGATGGCGTATCCAGGGATGATGATGAATTTGACGCCTATAGAAAGAGGATGATGCTCGCCTATAGATTTAGGCCTAATCCTTTGGTAATCATTTGCTTAAACGTAGATGAAATATACGATTTTCTGTTTATTTGATTCATAACATTAAATATTTCATACATGTTATTGAATAATCTAACAATAAGTGTCGTTTTCCTTTCTTTTTTATTTTCAGAACAATCCTCGAAGACCTTATTATTAAGGAATAGGGACATCGATAGGTGGTATTTGTGGCATTATATATTGAAATTTTCAATTTAATTGGAAGAAAAAATTGTCGTTATTTTGTATATTTGAAATACTGTAAATGTACAAAATTACAGTTGCAAACAGTGTTGTATGCTCGAAAATGCGCGGTAATATAATAAATGAAATCCCAAACTCGTTTCTACTTGTATATGTGTTTGCATCGTTCCTTCTTATTACGTATACAATTATGAATATTCATCAGAATTTTTAGATTAAGATTTTTAAGTTGAACTTGGATATAGCATCGTATAATTTTAAATTGTCTATATATTAATTTTCGATAAATTTGTTAAAATTCAGAAATTTGATTATAAAAACCAGCAGGATTTCGGTCGTTTTTACTTAATTGAAAGTTTCTAACTTTTGCATATGTATAAGTAACATTAAGGTGTACATATCATGTGTCTGAATATTGATAATGTTCTAGAATAATTTATTTTATAATATTATCATTTCTCATTATAAATCTAACAGTTTACACTTCTCAGTTCGACAGAGTATTGCTTGTCTTTATACCTTCTTTTAATAGGCGATAGAACGAGATAATTGACGAGCGAGCGGACAACCAACCGGTTTGTTCAGTCGCTTTTACGCTACTTTTCCACATTTATCGAACGTGTGCGGAATATTCTGGCCAATTCTAATAGACAAGCGGATAAACTGTACCGATTTTTGCGCTTAGTATATCTATATTTTAGATAATGCATAGTGTACTCACTTTTGCATTTTTTTCTTGCTTCCATCATCTTGTTCGTTACGGTCATACATCGTTCTCAGTTTAACAATTATTCGTTTTTAATAAATATCTCTTTCATTTTTTTCACCATATCTCGTGTATTTTTCAAAAATTTCAATCTAAATCGATGCGCCATTTATTTATTTTATCGTATTCGATGTTGTCTTTGGAATTTTAATGCATATTTAATATCGATGCGCCCTAATAATCATGGAATGCACATTTCACAGTAATACCAAGTATGTTCTCGTTTCTCGATCAACAATTGTATCGATATTCGATCAAGGTGAAAAGTCTGAGACGTTCTCTTAGAACGTAAGATCGTAACATTCTTGAAATGTCGATTCCACGTAAAGTGATTATTTAAAAACATATATAGTATGAAAACATAATAACGTTTCTTAAAATCGTCTTTATTCTTATGTGAAAAATGAGTCAAATATTTATCTTAACTAACATTAATCTTTGTCTTTCAATTCCAATAATTCTATGAGATTTTGCTATTGGAATAAAATGACAATACCAAGAATTTTCTATCGTTTATTCGTTTTCTTTTTACGAAATAAACGATTGTATATTGATGTTTATAAAAAAATAGCGCTCATTTTATGCTCAAATGAAATTATTAATTTGTAATAATTATAAAATGGAAAGTGTTACGAGGAATAGATACGTATGCATATCTAGAAATGTGATTTGTGATCGTTACAATGAAATAAAATTGATCAATATTAGACGCGTATCATAATTTCGATGAACATTTGATAATAATATCGATGCAATATTGGCAATCTCAAATTGGTATATTATGCTTGCTTTAGGAAAAACAAATTAAATATTTTTAACATTATCCGTTGTAGTTGACCGGCTAAGATTTATGTAGTAGTACAGCAAAAATTTTTGATTCCGGCTGTTATACCTTTCTTTCTAGCTGAGTTATCTTTATTCGTTTCTCGTCACCGGCAACATCGGTCCGAAGGGGGTAAGGGAAAGGAAAGAAAGAGAAGGGAAGGGAAAGGAAGGGGAAGAACTTGCAACGAAACGGAACAGAACGAATTCAAACGGATCGAATCGTTTCAGATCGGATCACAGCTTTACAGAGCGAAAGGACGGAAAGAGACCAGAATGGTTGGTAGATCAGTGGGGAGAAGCATAGGTACTCTTTCAGCGCGGACACGTATGTACGTGAAAGTAACTCTTACAATTCAGCGGTGATCGGATACTACTTGGTGCTTTATGGTGTCGGTAGTCTGGTTGTTTGTATCAAAGTTAAAATACGGTGAACGCAACCGTATATTGCTGTGCATTTTGTTCGTTATTTCAGGAGACATACGAATGATAAAGTGAAAGATACAAGAATACGAAAGGGTGATAGATAGCGACACATGACGTACACTTAGACTGTTCTTCGATTTCCATTGAACGTACACCTAAGAAAAGCAACGGATAGATCAACGAACTTCGGTAGAAACGGAACAGGTGCTTTACGTAACATCCGACAGGAACGAACTAATAACGTTGAGCCGTGTAATAACCGCGATTCAAAGGAATTAAAGAACGACTTTGATTTTTATAATTCAGCAGCCCGTCGTATTTCTTTCTTTATTTTTTTCTCCGTTTTCGTCCTTTTTTTCTCTCTTTTTATCGCTCATAAGACACATTGTATTATATGTTCTTTAAACCGTCAGATTCGCTCACATCTCGAGCGAAAGTCGTTTCCAAGATATAGTATACAACTAGCGTACTGATACACTTGGCTTCCTCGCTAATATGTTTGTTTAACTTTTTCTTTCTATTTCCACCGAAGAAACTGCATCTCCTAATCCAGGAAACGAAAATATCCTTAACTGAATACGGGTTTATCGTATGTGCTGTTTTCCATCGGAATAAGTATCGCCCGAGACGATAACGGTCATGTGTCGTTCGACCAAGGCAAATGGACATTAAAAAGAGTGAATCAAGTGGCCACACATAATAATTTTACCATTAAAAGGGAAATAAAAAAGTATAGAATCGACTTATGTTTATCACCTCATCTTATTTACATGCATATACGTGATCAATGTGTTGCATTAAGGAGGCTCGGATGGACACGTTGCTGTGATTACTTTTATAACAGTTATCGAATAATTATAAACGAATAATTGTTAAAGAGAAATCTTTTTGTGTTCGTTGTAACAGCTGTTCTCTTTGCGAGTGATTCGTGCTTTGTGCTTCGATCAAATTGATTTTGAGCCAGTTAAAAGAAAAGACACTATTATTCGCGCGTATGAACCTTCCAAGACAATTTCTTCTGTGAATTTATTTATTTATTTATTTTATTTCCTTTCTTGTTTGCGTTTTGATTTATTAACGTTCAAAATGAATGGATATACAGCTCAGAAAAAGGAAGAAGAATTTGCATGCGAATAGCTAATCGAACGTTAAGTGATCTACATCGGGAGTGCCGTGGGTACGTGAATTTTTGAAATCACGTATATTTCTTCGTTCCGTTCTTCGTTTCTGCCGTTCTATTTCTCATTTTCTTCTCTTTTTTCTTCCTCCTTTATTTCTTCTTCGTTACTTTTCTTTCTCCTCTTCTTCTCACATTTCCTAATCGTTGACATCGCCGTTGTATATCCATACCCTTCCTTATTCCTTTCATATTCCTTTAACTTCCTTCGATTGTACGATCATGAGAGAAGCCGTAATACTTACCACATGTTTACTGGGTATCGTGTTCGCTGGAAGTCCTAGACTACCCAGAACCTCTGCCGATGAACGTAATACCCGTAATGTTAGTAACAATGGAGGCAACATCACTGGAAACACGATACCGATACCTAGCCGCAATTCTCAACGAAATAGGTAAGTTACAGCAGAAAAGGGTAACCGTGAATCTTGTAACGAGCAAGAATTGAAATCAACAAAATGATGAAAGTATGATAACACTTCTAATCTATAGTATATCCAATTAATCTCGTTAAGATTAATTTTTTCCTTTGTAATTTCGCTAAAATCTGACACTTCTCGTGTTTACCTATTTGCACCAGAAAACGTAAAAAGAGAAAGGGAATTTAAGATTTTATAAAGTTATATGAAATATACACTTTATCTCGATTGCGGAATGTAACATTATAGATTTTGTTAACATTTTCTCATGCAAGTCATCATCATTTTATTCCATATATAAATTAGCTTCTATCCAACTAGTTTTCTCTACTCTTTCCTATATAACGTATAAGCTTGTATATTTTCTTCAACTAAACGTTGCAGTTACTTATTGTAATGTAATTGCACGTTTCAAATGTAAATTAATACCAACTTTTAATACGAAAAATGCGTCATAAATTTTCTCGATTGCATTTCTTCACATTCGGGTCGTTTAACATCCATCCTCCCACAGGATTTTTTTCCAAAAAAAAATCGGCAGAAAATAGAAAATCGACATCTTCCCTCGAATTTTTAATTTCAAAAAGCGTGAAACTCAATTCTTTATTTATTTGCATACGTAGTTAATTTCATTTCTTAGTTCAATTGCACGGGTATCTTACGATGTGAAAAATAACGTTAATTGAAGTAAAGCTGTCGTAAATGTTTTGATCACACGTTAATCGCAAGGAATTGAAGCAAGAATTTCCGCTATTGTCTCAAACAGGTTTATACTCACCTTTTTCTCGCTTTCTCTTTTCATCCTCTCAATTCGCGCGGTGTGTAGTAGCGTACATCTACAATATACCACCATAAATCCTTGGATCGTGTTGTTTCGTACTGTGTTGTCGTCCTGTTGGTTCATGTTAGACTTTTGCTTATGTAACTTGATAGAACAACGCGAAAGGTTCAGTTCTCAATGGTAGCAGCAAACACGATAAAGAATATTTTTGTCACTTATGTAATACTATTCTACACATTTTATCAAATCGTCAACTGTAGATCTTGCTTTCTTTTCGAAATTATTAATCTCATGTTCCATCCAATTATCTACTTGTCAATCTTATTTTCTTTTTATTTACTCTACTATTTATTTGTATGACACTCGCAATAATTACGCTCAACTTCATTAACGTGGTTACAATCTTTTATGATAATAAATATCATAAAAGAGACTAATTTATTTCTTCGTTAAATAAACTTTACTAGATAAGATAAGTATAAATGATACGATAATTCACTCGTTCGTTGTTGTCTTTTTGTTAGTTATAAATATTATTCAAGAAAGTAAGACATTAGAGAAATAGTGTACGCTTGTACGCTCGCGCGTGTACTTATACGTATGTATAAACACGCCCGCATCGTGCATTTCTTCATCTGTACAATGCATCGTTATGATACAATGATTGTTATGATAGTACCAAAATATCAAGGACTTTATAGCGTACTATTAACATAATTACCATTAGTGCATTATGTATACGCATTATTGTCGGTTTAAAGACTATAGCTACCAAATATAAAAGCGGGTCTATAAATGACACAAATAGGTGGTTATTATTTACAACAAGGGCACAAAGAGAATAAAAAGAGAATCGATTAGATCGTAAGGCTAGAAAGGACGATGCAGAGATCTAGTTTTCCCTTGGTTGCGTAACAAATCTGTAAGATCTAGTTATAACAATACGGTTGCGCAAGTTTGACTAGATTCCTCGGAAGGAACGAACGATAACGGATCGAATATACTACAATATTTTTCTGCTATGTAAAACAAAACAAATTAAACTTTATAGAAACGCTGTTTTCCATGATAAAAATAATAGATAGATTCTCTTTCGTTTAGCTGCACACTATACGTACGTACATCCAACTTTTGTTAGTGTGTTCCACTAGAATCATCATGGTATGTGTCTCGTAATTTGTTACTTTTCTTTTTCACCTTACGGAAGTTATCGGTTGCGGAATGTCGTCCGTTTCGTTTTAAGCTGTAAACCATTCCGCTTCCACCTTTCAACCGCCAGTTAGTTTTTGTTCATCGTTTCGCTCTAGAATACTTTTACACGAATAATTCTGATAATATCCGTGCCCACTTTCACTATAAGCTCGTTAAAATTGTTCATTTACGAAACAACTAAACATGTATGGTTTAATAAAATAAACTATAACTCGTGTTCTATTACATTTATATCGTAATCTTCTTAATTTCTTTTTTTATGCGCCACGGAACTCTACAATGCAACGATTGTGAAATATTAATAGATAAATGTGCTTCAAACAGCCAAGATACTTGGTATCTAATTATGCGTGCGCTTAATTAAAAGCCTGCTGGTATGAAGAAATTTGTCGCAAAAGAAAATCACATTTTCATACACATCATTACATAGCATTACATATCATATTTGAAACCGCTATATTTAGAGGGCATTATACTTCTTAAGAAATGTCCATCTTGGATTTTCGAAATAATATTAATGTGGTTGATTTTGTACGAAAAAGAAAAAAATATGTTGTACATTAGAGAGTCAGTAATTGAAATTTTTCTCCTTAAATAATATCCTCATCTATACTTGTTATGTTAGATATGTCCGTTATGTTATGTTACGCATACAAATGTCCGATAGGGTGCCTAAATGCAGTATCCTGTAAAACCGTTATACGTCATATATACATGATAGAAGCACTTGCAAAGTATTACGATTCACGCTTTTACAGATAAAGGGAATAAAGAGTAAAAACGAAAATATTAGAAACAGACGATAGGGAAAATATAGAGAGAGTAACAAATCGTCCCTAGTTGTCATACCATGGAGCGTGTCATAAGTCATAACAATAATTATTTATCATTGTAAATCTGCCAACTGTCTAATGACTTACGAACATGTATATTCATATTATGTTTCATTTTTTAGTTTTAAATATTACAGAATTAGCTAAAGTAGACAACTTTTTTCCCAATAGCGATGATAATCTATTGATTATTTTTTCATAAAATGTGTCAACCAATAACACATAATCGTAGTGTATTTGCCAGGTCTACAGACTACCTGATTATTAATCACTTTGATAAATTTCCTCACACCATTACGATTATTACGAGTTAGGACACAGAGGGTAGAGTTTCCGTCAAAAGTCAATATCTTGTGGAAGACACGGAAAAAGAATCGCATAACATTCGACGCGAAATAAAAACGATCCTACATTTTTATACAGAAACAATCGTAGATCACAATGCCACTCTTCTTTACTAATTGAAATGTGCGATACTTGTAAAGATATTCCAAGTTTATTACACTTATTTCTTAACATTTTGTACGCGAATAATTGCACAAAATCGCTTAATTCAAATTTTCTCATATGTTTGTGAAATATTTCTATCGTTGGAAAAAATATGTATTAGTAGGAATTGATATGCGAAACACCATCGAAGTAATATTGCAAATAGTTCTCAAAATCGACAAATTTAACAACACTAGATCCACTAAATCCGTTAAAGTAGTACATCTTAGATTGTTTTTTCATTTTTACAGTTACTGAACATATGAAACTAAACATGAGTTGATTTTCCATCAAACTTGAATTGGCTTCTACATACTTACGATTCGAGGAATGATTACGTGTAGCATACCATTGCGTTTAAATACTCGTATATACTTCGATGACATGTTTATTGCTATGTTATGATTATTATCAAGAAGAAAGAAAAGAATTTAACTTTTGTTGACAATATCATCATGCTTTGAGTAACGTAAGAAATTACAATTCCAGCGTTAAATTTAATTCTTTAATCGACAAGCAATAACGTAGGATGTATCAGTGAAGGAAAATAAAGTAAGCAAAAATATGTTACATAGCTTGCTCGACCGATAAACCTTTGCAACGATATCATTCGGCAAACATGTTTAGGATTTACAGGTTTGTAAGATTCGAAAGGACCGTAATAAGCACGGAGAGTACGACTACTGACCTACCTGCAAACGGATTGCGTAAAATTACAGTTTACATCGTAACGGGAGAAAGGATACATCTGTGCAAGTTATTTTAGGTCCAGTTTTGTTTTAAGTCCAATTCCATTCACCGAGAAGAAAAAAGGAACGATTCTTTAATTAGAACAATTATTGTTTGATTGCTTTATTTATTAGGGAATATGGGCTAATTTTTCATTTTCTAGCCAATATTATGAAAATTGAATAATCCTATTATTCGAACGCATTTATTATTGTTACTATCGCTGAACAAAATGGATTAATTTATATATCCACTTTCTTTTTCTTTTACTTTTGCATGCTTCTTGCCTATAGGAGGTAACCCCGAATGAAACAGAAATAGAAATTTTTAATCGTTGTAAAAGTATATATATTTCGAATAATTTTGAATTTAGAAATATCATTGTAATGCAGCGCGTATGAAACATATACGGAAAGCAAAGGCCGATAGTCAATAAAAGCAAAAAGTAACATTATTAAGAAATTATGTTACAGTAAAATGTATTTCTCTACAGTTGCCATTTTTCTCTATGCAACTGTTGTGCCTAGCTATCAACTTCTGCCATACCTTGCATAGAAACCTTGTTACTTATAAATCAGTTTCAACTTCAAATTTTGATGATCCAGAAAACCTTGCAAATCGATATTCCTTATTCGAATAGCGAACACTATATATAGATCCAAGTTTAACAACTTTATCGTTTTCTGGAAACTAATACACATTATTATTATACACATGATTATCATCGAACATCGAAAAGATTCTTTCAAAAACGGATAATCCCCCAAAAGCGAATATATCTGAAGCAATGCTTCGAGATTCATGATACGAGTTTGTGATCCATTAAAAAAAAGCACACTTTCACTTCTGGTCCACCACGTAAGTAAGTATGTACTTACATATACATTGCTGTCTGTAAACATCGGTACGCGTTATGCCGTATATCTGATTACACATTTTAAAATCGCGAAAATAACGGATAATTTGAAAATAATGGATAAAAGGAAAGAAAGAAAGGAAAAAGAAATAAAAACTCTACGTATTAGAAACATATTTCACATTCGTTTAACACATAGGAAAACAATGTATGCACCTTATGTACATGAATCCTCTGGTAAGATGATATAAAAAATATGTTGATTGGTAATATCACCAGTAAACTTCAACAAACTAACGAATATTTGGTAGGATCGCCTATTACAGTATGTATTGTAATTACCATTCACGTGGAAATATCTGTGTTGCACGCAGGCGAGCACGTATCTCACTGTTTAAATCATTGTATCAGTTAATGCGATATCAGTAATAGAAGCATAGATTATGCTCACGTATAAGCGAAAGTATATAAAAGTATATAAAATATAATACTTTTACGATAAAATGTATTCCTAAACTCATTTTGTAATTTCTCTTTCTCAATTTCATGCTTTTTTAATATAAATGTAACAAAACAAAAGTGACTTTCATTTTTTGATTGCAGCGTTTCACTTAGAACAATTTATTTTCAGAGAGCAATACCTCTTCAATGTTTTCGAGGTAATAGTTTCGACTTTGGAATCGAAATTACAGCGCATCGAAAACCTGGATAAAGCGGTAGAACATTTAATGAGGAGAGTGGAAGCTTTAGATTCGCGCGTAAACGATAATATCGACAAAACCGACGCAGTTATTACAAAGCTACGAACCTTAGACTTAAAGCTCTTTAATTCTCATCCAATCGAATTTTCATCAACTGAATCTAATACATACCTGACAAGACCGATCGATGATAAAGGCGACAGTGAATCAAGAAGCGGTACGTATGCACATATTTACATACCTGTATGTTCAGCTAAGCCGGTTATCATTCTTAAATATTTTTTATCTTTATCTATTTATAAGTTATATCTGTACACGTGATTGTAGGTATGCGTATATCATATACATACATAGGTATACGCGTTGCGTATATACTTCCTTTCCCCACATTCTTCCTCTATCTCCTTACTAATGCTCCTCCTTCTTCTTCTTTCTGTCTATAATTTACTTTTTCGACTATTCAAATTTATCCGTTCGGTGAAATAGGTTCAAAGCTACAAATGATCCATCAGAAGCGAGAAAATCCATCATCCGAAACTCTTGGTGAAAAATTATTGTCTCTCGATCAAAAAGTATCGGATATAGACAATAAATTGATCGATTTAAAACATCAATTGGATAATAATTTTTTACAAAATGACGACATAAACGCTGAAGCCAGTGAAAAGAAGCCAGTCAGCATGAGTGTAATCGAAATCACGAAAGCGATGAGTAACGAAGTAATAAATCACATTACGATCGAAATAGAAAATTTAAGGCAAGCGACCAATAATATGGACAGGAAGTTACAGTTTCACGTGAACCTAGTTTCCGATCGTTTGGGAACTATTTATAACATGATGACAGATGTACACGATGCGATACTAGTGAGAGGAACCACGAATGGTCGGCCAGTATTTAACGTTACAACGACAACCACCGAACCGCCACCAAAGCAGAGTAAAATCGATCGACTTGTCGAGCAAATGTATCCAATGTTGACCGTTTCAGAGAAAATGGACGAAGTTTGGAATGTTGTGGTAAGCTAGCGAATTATTTCTTTTGTCAAATGCAATCGCACATGTTACATTACGTTTCAATTAATACGTTCCAATCAAATACATGTATCGTATCGTATGATGAACAATTACACATTGAAAATTTTATCCGTAGATTGGTACTAAGAGTTCTGTGGACGATCTTTTACCAAAATCCGACGAATTACTTACACAAACGCAAAGGCAGGAAAGAGCGATTAGCGAAATTCATGCGGACTTGAGATCTAAAACGAATAAGATTATCGAAAATTTAGAGGGGGTTGAAAATAGGTTGCGAAAGCAGGAGGATGATGTCGCTAGCCTCGCTCAACGTCCAATCCCTGCGGAATTGTTGCTGGATCCCACTATCGATCGACTCGTTGAATATGATTCGAACAGGTGAGTATGCGTCTCGTCTCTGAAGAGAAATAATCTTTTATCTCGGGCAGAATATGAATATCTCATCCGATTTTTCGTTTAGAGAAAAGATCAAAAATGGTACTAGCTAGAAATAAGGCTCATGTATTGTAAGGTTAATTATCGTGTATTATTATTAACGCGATGTTAGTGTCCTTTAAATATAAAACTTTATTCCATGTCCATCGTTGTCGTGAACAAATTTCTTTCAATTCAGATACGTTGGACTCTCTGACGAAATTCCACCTGAAACAACTGTTTCACCAGTAACTCCTACTACGATCGTTTCGTCAGTGTCGATGTCCATGTCTTCCTCGACGTCGTCAAATACCATGTCAATCAATCATTTCAATAATTCAAACAACATCGCTGGTTCCACTAATTTCTCCAACTCTACCGCTAGCCCTGGAATAACGATACCTTCGAGTTCGCAACGGTCCTCGTCGAAAAATCGTGGTGTTATATTTCCAAGTGTCAAGAACAAACCAAGTCCAGCAAATTCAACTTTTACCACCGATGCATTTCTTAGTTACAAGGATGTTAAGGTAAAGAAGACATTACGAATTTATAATTAACATCTGCCTCTACCTATCTTTCTTTTTCCTCGATGTCCAATGGAAAATAAAGTACATGATAAAACGAAATGGAACGAGTAAAACGAAAAAATAGTAAGAAAAGGGGAAAAGGAAAAAGAAAGAGAAAATAACGAAGGAAGTAAGAAAGACTGAAGTATTGTTATATATTTCATATACATAAAATGTACATACATTTCATCATAGATGTACATATCTTGTTTACAACGTTCATATATATGTATTTATATGCATAACATTGATAATCGTTTACGTTAGACGATTTGTTATGCAATGCATCGATTACCGTTCTGGATATTTCATTTAAACAGGCATTTTATAGTTGCTCGTAATTACTCGTCTCGGCAACTGTAAATAGCATGTGAAAGTCACTATACTGGACATACTTGTTTGCCAACTTACATACAACAGTGAACTCAACGGTCGAATGCAAAGTTTCCGATGAATATCGGTAAAAGCGTTATACGTATTAATAATAACAGTCTGGTAATAACATCTCTTTTTATGGGAATTTTAACCAAGTTTAAATTTATTCCTTTGCAGAATTTTCTCGTTTTCAATCATTAATTCCTATTTTTAATTATTTTTCCATTTTCAGTATGGAAATCATAAAAATACTTTTTTAAAACCGTTACATGAGTTGAAATACTTAAGAGTATACAAGATTAATATTGTAACAATTTACGTGATAACACTGAAAGGTCTTGAAAAGAAGAAAAAATCGTATATTGTTTAATATGCAACACAGTATACATACGTCTTATTTAATGTTACAGGGTTACTCTTGCGTCGATTTATTAAATGCGGGCATGAGAGACAGTGGTGTCTATTATCTTCAAATTCGCGGAACAACGTATTGGTTTCTGAAGGTTTATTGCGAGCAAGATGTAGCTGAAGGAGGTTGGACGGTACGGTTTTATTCAAACATGATTACATTTTATTTAATTTTATTCGTATAAATGAGACGAAAGAAAACTGTGGACGAAAGAGAGATACTTTGGAAAACAATTAGCTCATTCATTCCATTATATTATAAAACAAGATACAGAGACAGAGAATCTTTATCCTCGATGGTTCTCGCAATATGTAAGTCGCGCTCTGTGTAGGGATTTTAACCGGTCGTTATTTATTTTATTGTTAATCCGTAGAACCGTTTTTCCCTGGTTTAACGAATTTATACGTTTTCCCATTCCATATCATTTCTTCCGTTTTCTTTACGTAGGTTATTCAAAGAAGGGACGATTTCGGTGAGCCAAGAGAAAATTTCAACCGAGATTGGGCTGATTACAAAAACGGTTTCGGTGATCCTGCTCGAGAATTTTGGCTTGGCAACGAAAACATATACATGTTAACTAACAATGAAGATTATATGCTTAGGGTAGAGCTCGAAGATTTTGAAGGTAACAAAAGGTAAAAATAAGATGACGATACAACTGCAACTAGATTACTGATTCCAAGCCTGTTTTCATCTTTATTTTCCATAATTTGAAAAACATTTCAAAAACAGGCCCGAATTGCGTTTCATTTACTTGACGTATACCTGATTTTAAAATACAATGCATATACTTTCTAGATATGCGCAATACTCTCACTTCAAAATCTATTCGGAGGGAGAATATTATAAATTGGAGATCGACGGTTACGATGGAAATGCTGGTGACTCGTTAAACGATCCTTGGTATGGTTCAAACAATAGTCCATTCTCCACCTACAACAGGTAACAATTTTTCACCATTTTGTGCAAAAAATATCGAACGACTATCGCTCCATAAAACATTGATTTAGCGTTTTACATCGAAGAAACTGAAAATTAGACAGAGAACAATAATAGTAATAAATAGTAGTCAATGATAAAATGAATAAAAACGATATGAAATGCATTACGAGTGGAACGTGTGGTATAATAGCTTGTTGAACATTCTGACATCTGTTTAGGTATTTATAATTTTAAATCCATACTTCATTTCACAGGGACAACGATAGGTCATCCTTGAATTGTGCATCAATGCTGAAAGGCGGTTGGTGGTGGAAATCATGCGGACGGGGATTAAATGGTCTATATTTAAATGATCCTCAAGATTTAACTGCTCGGCAAGGTACGTTCATCCATATAGGTACAAACAAACTGCCAGTTTGTTGTATAACAATCGTATATTTATTAAAAAAATTATAAATTGCACACCTCTTATAACGTAATTGTTCACTCTCACGCTTCTTTTAACAAACTGAACTTTTTATAACATATCAACTCTGATCCATAGCAACTGCACAACATCACGCAATCTAGATCTCGCACTTCTAAAAACACACATATCTACATTCGTGCCATTACTCGACCTCACACATTTGCATTCGCACTAATAAAACCAAATCCACACAAACAAGTTCATATTTAATATTATTTGCATTACAAAAGACTCTTGTTTTGTTACGCAAAGGTATCGTATGGTTCCGTTGGAGAGGTTGGGATTATACTTTGAAACGTGCCACAATGATGATCAAGCCGAAAGGGCCAACAACAGCGACGATTTAAGCAGTTATAGTAAAAAACGAATTTCTTTAGAAGAATTGCGCTATATTCGTTGCGTTCGATACTATAATGGACGTAATTTCTCGCAGTTACCAAATATACATACATGTAAGGATGCCTGGAAACGCCGAATGAAAAAATAATCTTTCAGAGAATATTCATTCTCTCGATGTTCATTAAATGCGTTTCATTATGGCGTTTCATCGTTAACAAATATTTATTACGATTAAATTTTTTACTGGTTTTTGTTAAATTCCGTTAGACCAACAATTAAATGCGTACAAAGCGATTAGATGTAATTATTATAATCGTTGATTCTCTGAACTATGCGAATACGCTTAATCATGCGAAACGTAAAACAATGAAACAATCAATGCATAGTCTTCATATTGTATTTAAACACGACGACATCATAATTAACTGGTGCAATATTATTTTATTTACGTAACATGCAAACTATAAATTGTAGCCTATATATCGGGACTCTTTGAAAAATAATGGAAAATTCGATTCCGTGATGTGTATCTTTTCAAAGTAACTATAACCACTATTGCTCTTGCCACTGCTATTCTCATTGCTACTTTTATTGTTGCTGTTGCTGTTGCTGTTGCTGCTGCTACTACTATTACTACTGCTACTACAACACCTACTACAACGACTACTACTACTACTACCGCTACCATCGCCACCGCCGCCACCGCCGTCACAACTACCACCACCACCACCACTACCACTACTACTACCACCATTACTGTTACTGCTACTTCTATTATTACCACACTACTGCAACTACCACTACTACTACTTCTGCTACCACTACTACTAATACTATCTTTAATACTGCTGCTGCTGCTGTTGCTGTTGCTGCTGCTGATGTCGCAACTACTGTCACATGTCGGAATTTATTGTTTTTTCATGATATTAGTAACGGCTAAAATTCTTTCATATTTTATATACATAGTCGCTATTCGTAAACTGATTTATTGTAAATATGTGCATAAGGTATTATATATTGTCAAGGTTAGCTGTAAACGGTGCAGACACTTAATTGCTGTAAAGTTAATTAAGATCAAGTAGTTACCTCAATTATACACATTAGAAAAATAAGAAATTTAACCGAAAAAGGTATTCGTTAAAACTGTATAGAAAGCGACACATATATTGGTATTATTTAATTTGAGATATCAGCACATAAACTGTACGTTTTACAAATATTGTATTCAATATGATTTGCAAATGAAGTACGAAACAAGCTTTCGATAAATTTCTTGTTGTTCGGCAAGCTTTTATATCACAGTATACATTCAATACGTTATCTTGGTCACGCGTGTATGCTCCACTGAGATAGAAACGATCAATTGTATAATAATAATAGCAACAACAACAATAACGATGATGACGATAACAACAACAACAACAAAAATAATACTAATAATAATAATAATAATAATGATGATGATGATGATGATGATGATTGTGAGAAGGAGGAGGAGGAGGAGGAGGAAGAGGAGGAGGACGACGACGACGACAACAATAATAATAATAGTAATGATGATGATGGTGATGATGATGATATTAATATTAATAATAATAACAATAATACTAGTACGACTATGTCATACGAATAAGTAAATATTTGTGAAAATTAATAAAACCATAAATTTTTATTTCCTAGGTTAATGATTAAGGTAGGTAGTAAAAAATAAAGTCCACTGATTCCAAAATGACGTCCTCACTAAATCTACCGCTGACTAACATAATTTGATCGTGAAATTAATTAATCGCGTAAAAATTACAAGAAAAGTAGTAAGGTATAGAAGGTGTGAAAAATATGTATCTACGTACATTTTAGTTACATACTGTAATTATACCGCTAAAATAACATATTATTTAAATATTCGGAAGAAATTAAAAAAAGAAAAAAACCAATATTAATAGTTATATATAAGAATAAGAAATATTGGATTGAATAAATCATATACAGACCTTAAGAATGGGAGCGTGATTCAGGGAATAACAATTTCCCATAGAAACAGGAAGTTTACGAAAAGTTATCACAAATCAATTAGCTAAAAATTGTAACTTGGGTCGCAAAACCGGCATAAAGTATTACTTATTTTCCTTATCCAAGTAAAATAAATTCCATACGTTACGAAATTTATTTTCAAATAAATCATATAAACTACGTATAAGACATACGTAGAATACGAATAAGAATGGTCAGAACCTAATGGATTTATTATGTACAGCATATGACTAGCCGTAACATGATCCAAATTGAAAGAGGGTGTGTCTTGATTTGATCAATGTTATTCATTAAAAAACAACGTGCTTGTGTATTCTCACACGACAATGTAGCAAGAGGCCTGGACTATCCGCCACTAATGTTTGTTTGTAGGTAGGAAGGTATAGCAGTTGAAGACTTAAATTTGAAATCCTCCTCGGCCGACATGGAGGAAATTCCTAAATTAATTTCAGGTTTGGACATGGTTATTTTCCCGAAAGCGATAAGTTATATAAGCATATCTTGAACCAAAATATAGCCACAGGCCTGTACTATACTAGAGTTCTACTTTGGCGTAGGTACATATACGGGTGTAAGGTTGAGTAAGTCCGGAATCCACCTTGACCGTCATTGTCCAAATTTCGCTAGAACACGAGCGAGCAAGTTGCGCATCAGGCCAAAGGAACGAGGCGAATGCGAACGGATAATCGTTATTTTTGCGAAACAGACGAAATGGAGAATGAGAAGGTAATATGAAAAGTTTTCGTTGAAACGAGGCAATAAAGTGGTACTCGCGATTCCACCCTAGACTTGAAGATACCCGAAGATAGAGGCTAGACTGAACTGCGAATACTGCGTAGCTCTTAGCTTGACATCGTTTGTTAAAGAGGAGTTATACTGAAAAATGTATAGATACTTTGATAAAATTAATGGAGACAAGTCAGGAAACATTTCATCATTGATAACCGATGACAATTACCAGATCTCACCACGTGGAGGTGGCTACGCAATCGAGACCCGAGAATAACTACATTATTAAAATATAATAGAAAATAAATGAGAAAATGAGTTTCAAAACGATTACCAAAAATGATTAGAAAAAACAATACAGAATATAATAAAAAATTTGTTAGAAAATAAATTATAAATTATAGAACACTAATATCTGCAACAATGAAACAGCAATTAATAATGACACGGAAATGAAAGTTGAGTGAGAGAATTGGTAGTTGCATAAGATTATTGTGTTATGAAATAAGAAATAATTTCTTAAAAATGGGGCACGCGTTTGCACTATGACGCTTTAAAAGTCGCAACGATAGTCGAAAAAAGCACGCGAGCTACCACATAGGGTACTATATTTCTCGTGATTCTGGTTTATCCAATTTTATGTCAAAACGAGCTAAACTTTTAATTCCCGATCGCGATATATCAAATTTCAAGGGATTTCGACGAACTCTCGAATGCAATGGGCATAGTATGCTCAGTAATACTGCATAAATATGCAAAAATGAAAAATTCCTCCACGTTATGATGATGCAAAGTAGTGAGCATATTGACAAAAATAGTAAATGTCACGAAAAGAATTTATGTCAAGAAAGAAGCATACATTAATAAAAATAAACGAAAGAAAAAAAAAAAAAAAAAAAATGAGAGGGAGAAAAGTGTAATTCGATTAAAAAGTTTGAGTAATTTCAAAATCAAAGCAAGTCCTCTAATAATTAAAAAACATTCGAATTATTACTCTTTGATTTTGGAAACTACCTTGAGGGGAATGCTTTCTTTTACTTGTATTCTGTAAAAATCGCTCGAAATAACTATGACAATGAACGAATTGTGCGACTAGTACTTTTTAAATTAATATTTAGAATAGAAATTCGAAATTTCTTTAATCAAGATTCTAATGCGCCATTTAGGGAGAAAGAAAGTCGTAGCCTGATTCAATAAATATATATCGTAGGAATGTGTATTGCACAAGTGTCATTGTACATAACTACATTAGCACTCATGGTCGCTACGAAAATAAAATACAACCAGCCATCCGTACGGTTTTGGACCATTCTTTCTACGACATGATGGGTAACCAGAGGAATCGTAAACATGCGACTTACCGATCGTTGGCCTCTTCTCCATATGAAAGCAGCTCTGGAACGACTGTCGTCCTGGTCCTGGGATCAGCGTCACTGTATCCTACCCTTGACACGTGGTTAATGCAGCAATGTCAACATTGGTTAAAATCCCTTCCTCTTTTCTTGGAACACTTTGAAAATACACTCGCGATGTCGCGAACGCGTGCGAACTTGTTTCGGCCAATATCAAGAAAAAATATCGCGGGTGAAGACATACGAACGAAAACGATTTTGGAGAAGTACGGTTATATATAATTTAAATAATTTAATTGCGATAAAAATATTTAATGTCCACTCATACTAATGAAATGAAAAATATAAAACATGGAATATTTATTTTATTATTAAATAGATAATTATAAATAAAAAATGAATTAAATAATTAAATGAATAATTAAATATCAAAGTAAATAAATTAAGTTAATAAACT